GAACTATTTGTACATTTAGCTATTGCTGCATAGCTAGCGTTAACAGCTGTTCACTCACCAGTCTAGAAGAAACATTGTGAATTCAGCATCAAACTTCATTTCCTTTACTCACCAACAGCTGTCTCCAGAGCTGGAAACAAACACCAATGTTAACTCTTTCTGATAGCGACTCACAGTAGCCTCCAAAATGTCCTGAAGACGTAGCTGCTCAGAGGACGTATAACCTCTTGTATTATAAAGACAGAGATGGCTGAAGCTCTTGTTAAGCAACAGTCACCACCACCTGCTCCTGACAAAAAAACACAAGTTCAAAGAAAACTTACAAATAGCCCCTTTAAGTGTAAAGTTGCTCTACACTAGTTTGTAATTTGTGTGCACATGTGATGTAATTCTTGAGTACAAATTTGTGGTCAGTGCTCACATATAATGAAATAACTGGCAAATTATGTAAATACAGGTAATCAAAATGCCTGCAAATTAAATGTTTCTAGAGCTCAAGTGACTAATTACTGTGTCTACATTAAGTAATTCAAGTGCACAAATTAAGTACTTCTAAGAGTCTGGATTACTAATTAGTGTAAATGAATAGGGACTCTCGGGCAGAAATGATTAATTCCAATGCATGAATTAAATTGCAATAATTAGTGCTAACAAATGAAACAATTCAATACAGTTAAACTGGCAATCAATGCACACACCAGATTAAGTAATTTCAGAACATGAATTAGGAAGTTCCAGAGAACAAATGACTGATTGGTGCACATCAATATGAGAACTTCTAGTGAAAATGTTACTAATTTGTTTACGTGAATGAAGCTGAGAACACAAATTATTGATTTGTATGCAGGAATTTTAAAAACTGTGCTGCTGAGACCTGCCACTCAAAGAGACTGAATTAAAGACATGAAACATTTGAATATTTTATCATTGATATTGTTTTTTTTTCCTAAGTCATATGTTGTAGTTTGACATCTGGTTTTGGTATCCTCAGCAGCTGCTTTGCTCAGCAGCACGTTGGCAGCATCATCCTTGTTTCATTCACCCGCTCCCTCTGATCTTTCTCTTCTCTCTGGGATTTGAACAAACAGCTCTCTGCTCACAGTTACAGCAGGACTCCTCCCTCCTCCCCCTTGTTTTCCTCCCCCACTCCACTTCCTCCCTTGAGGCGTTTTTCAGTGTTTTTGAGGAAGCAGCAGATTATTGGCAGAGAGATCAGACAGTGTTATAGATCTGATAAATGCTGCCGGGCAGATTTAAGTCTTATGGTAATGTTTATATTTATATACTGTACATCACCATCATTATCATCATTATGTTCATCCCGCTAACCTCCATTTACTTGAATCCTGGGCTCAGTGCTCCAGGTTGAATACTGAGTCCAGACTGAGAAGAATGAGAAGTGAAGCTGTGTAGTTTCTATCTGGGTCAGAGGATGAACCGATTCATCAGCAGCAGAGTCTGAACACAAGAAAATGATCTGATAGACGGAGAAACTCTGATGTGCACACACTGTTCATACTTAACCTCAGTGATCCTGACTCCTACTTTAATGTACCCTGAAGTGGTATTAAGTCCATGTCAGGAACATACACTATTTATGGAACAATGAAGTATATACACTCACATACACATTCAAATATTTTATCCGTTTTAAAATCATTAATTTAATTTGTTTGGGGATGTTTGTTTATCTTTTTCTTGTGGGGTTGTTTTATGTATTTTTCATTTATTATGTTGTGTTTCAACAAATTTTTTTTTTAGTTGAGAGCACTGTACTGCTAAAACTTTAAGTAACATATATTAACTAGCCTTTGTTTATATAAGTAAACAAGAACTCAGCGGAATCTCTTTTATAGATGACCTGTTTGCAAAAATTAAGCAATGAATGAAATTAATTATAACCTAATTATGTTCTTTCCGTATAAAAAGTATTCTTTATAAAACCCAACATTATCTTTGTTTTTGGTTGCTGGTGGCAGCAGCAGCAGAGCATGCTGGGAGCAAGAGGTGATCCAGGTGTTGTTTAATCAGAGCGGTCAGATTGCATCCTGAGGAGGGTTACAGTTCAGACAGGACGACCTTGATGCTGCGCCAGGGGGTGGAACTTCATACCAAACACGTCGACCGGGATCAGATTTAGCCCCACAGAGGTCTGTTCACCTGAGGACTGTCGGGGGGTGGGGGGGGGGCTGTGTCCAAACTGAGACTCAGCTGAGAAACATCAAGGATTAAAGTCCTGCTAGTGTCCCCTAGAGGCTGCAGTGTTCATTACAGCAACATAAGAGACTGTTGGACAGAACAAACACACTGATGATTTAACTACACCCCCTCACCTGTAGTTACCAGTGGAAAACATAATGTGAATTTTGCCTAAGAGCTTTGCTGGAGGAAAGGTCATGTGGTCATTCAAATATACAGGGTTCATCCTCTGGGGAAGAAGAATATGATTAGGAAATGTTTGTTTATTTGGCTCTCTATTGTTACCTTAACAGGTCCTAGGCTCCATATAAAAATTACAATATATTCATCAAATGTAATTGGTTCCTGATCTGGGGGCTGGGACCCCTCAAAGGGAAATGTCCAAGGTGTCACAAGGTGATCAAAGGTTACAAAACAGAAACATTTACACACATTTTTTTTCTAATTGTTCATTTTTCTTGTCAAATCAGATACTTTCAAAAACTCAGGTCTCTAAAAGTTGGGATCACTGTAAGGAAATGTAATTACAATGTAATTACACAAAGGCAAACATAAGACACCAACTACCAGCTTCATTACTGCAGCACATTTCATGCAGGTCAGTGTCATTTAAAGAGCATCTTGAGGCAGTATTCTAAGATAAGAGTGCATCCGGTGTAGGTTTAACTGAACTGCATGTTGGGGTAAACTGGTGGTGCATAGTGTTATCTGTGATCACAGAAGAGCGGGTCAAAGTCAGTTTTCTGACATACAGCTCTGTAGCACCACCTTCTGGCCACAGGTATCACTGCTGTTCATCTTCCCACCAAAACAATGACTGTTATGTCACATAAATTGACTGGGCTGAATCATACTGGCATGAATAAAATAATAACAATGACTAAAAAGTAAAAATAAAAAAGCGGATGCAGTCAACCTCTTGAGACAACAGAAAAAATATTGACTACTTTTTTCTATTCTCTTGCATCATCTTGCAGCCCATCCACTGCTGTGCTCTGAAGTGAAAAATTCAAGGATGTGTTTAAAAGCAGTGTCAGTAATGAATGAATGATCAGCTGGTATTACGTCGTAATATTGATGTGAATAAGCTGTGATGTTGTTGACTGGTCATGTCATCCCTCCCCCTTTACCTCTCCAACTACTTATCCCTCTCCCGTTGTCCTTAATCCCCTTCACTGAATCAAACTTATTAGCCACAGCACTCATTACATTGAGGTGGTCAGTGCAGCAAAAATACACAAATGATGATTACTTAAAAGTTAATTTTTGAGGTGGGAGGGTGCAACATGAGCTGGGATCAGGCTGGCATTGCACCCTAAATACCCCCTTGTTTGGATCTCACCACCATCTGCAATTTGTTTTGAAACTTTTTAGATGTGAACAGCTCCTGCATTTACTTTGTGCAATGCATTGTGGAACAATGGTGTTGATAAACTCAAATCCAGTGTTTTTTAGTGTGCACACTGAGGCTGCACTTCTGGATTTATGTAGAGAGCCCTTGTTTTCATACGTCCAGTGACGTCTTCACCATCATCACATGGAATCTGTGAGGCTGCTGAACCTCAAGGGATGAACTGTGCGAGGAGACGGGATGTAAAGACCTCATGTGTTTCCATGGAGATGAACTGAAATATATGACGCAGTGACTCATTTTAAAGAATGTTTCTGAACAATTAACGATACAGATATTCATGACTTCAGCACGATATGTGCAGGTCAGCTGCATCACATATAGTAGGTATAAAAGGTATTGTCAGAATGTGCAGTAAAATGTTCCCTTTACACCTGCAGACTATAACAAATCCAAATTATTCAGCCTTTACACATTTACATACATATTCTATATGTGCAATATGAAACTAACTACATCAATGAATTTATACGACAAAAATGAAAAAAGCAAATGTCTTCAAAAGTAAATATAGTACATTATTTATTCATTTTTCACTGTCACATCCATATCACTATGGATTATGAGGTAATTTCAAGTCTGGTGAAGTCTGCAGCCCATGTGGACTCTCTGGAAGTCTGCACAAAATCCTCGATTTGCTTTCTCTTTCTGAGAGTGGCATCAGAAGATCAATCTAATATTAACCTCATGTCTGTGTGTTTAGTACAAAGCTGGAGTAAGAATGTGATCATCTTATCTTAGCATAAAGACTGGAAGCAGCTGGGAACCATAGACTGTAAATAAAGATGGACGTAGCCTTTGTGACGTGTCCCACAGGTTTCTGAAGCTCAAAGTGAGCTGTTCTACTGTCATCTTGGCAGTGTCTGGCTCCGCCCCTAACTCCCAGCTAATCAAAAAATGGACAAAGAGGTGGAGCATGTGTGGAGCTGAGACTTCGGTGCATGCTAGTTTAATAACTGTGTGAGCATACGCTCCCGTTAGCATTGTTAGCACAGCTGGGTGTTTAGGCTTCTTGCTCGAAGGCTAAACCAAGGTACCAATTCATATGTTGGCTAATTAGCTAGATAACCAGCTATGCTAACAAGCCAGATACTGTAAGCACTTACACCGATACCTGTTAATCAGTGCTAACATATAAACAAAATAAAACTAGAATTTCATTCACCTCAAAAACAGGAGCAAAGACTTCCTCATGTTCTATTAGTCAATAAACCAGCAACCCTCAATTCTGCATAACTTTACATTCTTAATAAAATGTAAACAGCTGAGTTATATAAACAGTTGTCCTGAAGGGGGAAATTAGCTCTAGAGACCAAAACTGTTTGTTGTACCAGGCTGTAAACATGTTTATTTCTGCTGTAAAGTTGGACATTTTAACATGGGAGTCTATGGGGACTGACTCACTGTTGGAGCCAGACTCTAGTGGTCATTAGAGGAACTGCAATTTAGCTTCATTTTTCAGCCCTACAGGTGTCTGCTTGGTGGAAACACTCTGGCTCTATCTGAAGTTCAAAAATACATCTCCCAGAACCTCTAGTGCTCACTGTTTATATGTTGTATCTCATTTGTTTAATCTTCAAACAAACACTAATGTAAAAAGCAGTTTGTGGATTTATGGGTTCAAATTTAAACTGTTTCTGCACCAACAGTTACTCCATCTGCCCAGTGCTTCCATGCAGAGACTCCTCAACCGCACCCAACCCATCACGAAATGGTTTCAGTTTGCAGCTCTCTCTAAAGCCAAACCCTAAATGTTGAACTTTTCGTTTAAAGTCATTTTCAGTGGAGCCTAATCAGAAAACACAAAGAATGAAAAGCAAAGAAAAAAAGGATATGTAAGGGGTTTGTTGTATCCAAATACACAGACTGAAGTTTTCCACATCCTGCATTTGTATTCACTAACAAGTGAACCTGTAGCTCTTGGCTCCGGAGTCACTGCCTTGCTCAGCAGCAACAGTCTGCCTGGCTGCTGCTGACACATCTGAGATGGAACCCGCAGCAGAACCTAATCTGCTGGTCAGTATGACCACAGCAATGTTCTCCTTCCTCTCCTCCTCATCACTCGATACCTTTCAGTGTGTGGTAGATTTGTTTGGGTAAAATCACGTATCCCTCGCCAAACGCTGCAGGTGGCTCACAACTGGTCCTTGGCACATCACAGGCGGCCTTCAGCCTCTTCAGCTGCCTCTCCTGCCGCCGACACTTCTGCTGCGTCGTCTTCAGTTTCTTCCTCAGACGCTCCAGCTGCTCCTCCAGCAGCTCAATGCGCCTCTTCTGCCGCGCGGAGTCCTCCGCCGTGTAGTTGTGGTCGCAGGAGACCGACGCCGTGTCACAGTGGGTGTCAGGCAGGCTCCTCACAGGTTCAGGCTCCTCCTCCTCCACCACTGGATCAGAGGTCAGAGGCAGAGAGAGGGGGAAGTGGATCTCTGAGGGGAAGGGATGCTCCAAGGTCTCTGACTGTCAGACAGATAACACACAGACTTATGATGCCGATTCCCCAATTAATGCAGAATAACATGTAGTTATCCAGACCTAGTCTTAATAAACTTAACAAGTGAAGGATTGATTTGTTATTTTGGTTGGATTTATCTTTGATGAGATTGTGCAATTATTTGAAAATGAGGACTGGACCATGTCATCAGACTGCACAACACCACTGCACCCACAGTCTAAAACTCAATCCTTAAACCTCAAGACTGCTATGCACAAGCCACACAACCACTTAATTATTTATTTTTATATTGTATATACTATTTCTATTTTATCTTGTATATTTTGATTCTGTTTCTATTCTTATTTTATTTCTCAACACATTTTCCCCTTGTTGCTGCTATTCTTTTGTGCTGCTGTGTCAAATATGAATTTCTTCTACGGGGGATCAATAAAGATTCATCTTATCTTATCTTAGACCATTTTGTTTTTTGTAACAATATGATTTAAAGAGCTTCTCCAGGGGTAAAGTTCCTCCAGGACTCCAGTCTGCTGACACACTGCCTATGTTGTGTGTGTGTGCTGGCTGCTGTTGCTGACCTGCTGCAGCTCACCTGCATGTACCTGTGTTCACAACGGCTGTGTCTCTGCTGCTGCAGCTCTGTCTCTCTACATAGAGTTTGCAGGTTACTGGAATGTTGGATTTCTTTTCATTATAAATTAATTTCGGATTCATTTTTGACCGAAAATGTCACAAAAATGTCACTTTCTCCACATGCAGCTGCTGAAATGGTTAAAAAATATATCTATATTTTTTCATGTTTGTGTCATATTCAGATTCAGCCTAGACATAGAGACTATAGTGGAAGGAGTCAGTTTTATGTGATGTTGCTGCTATGATGTCACTGTAATATCAACAGGTCTTTTCTCTGTCTGTCTCTGCTGGGAGACATGTCACAAATGAAAAATAGGTGAGACACAGAATCTCTAGATAATGCATAATAATGTGTTTGCTGATTTGGTGGTTTTTAAAGATGACAGTGTAACAATGAGCATGTATACTTGATCCAATCATTGACATTCAGTGCGTCAAGTCCCATCCCCACAGCTCCAGAACCTTCAAAAAGTACTGAAAATTATCCACACTAAATCCAACATGTCATTAATACAGACGCGCTGGCGGGACATGAACGTTCACTCAGTGCAGGGAAAATTATTGTGATAATCTTCAATGTGTTTTGTTCATTATTCTCCCAAACCCCAGATATTCTGTAGATCAAGAGATAATCAATTAGATGACAGAAGATTCATCAGCAACTATTTTGATAATCAAATCATTGTTTTAGTTATTTTTTAAGCAAAAATTGCAAACAACTGGTTGGTTGGTTAGGGTCCTCCTCATATGTCAAGATTTAATTCTCAATTTAATTCTTTGTCAAATACAATAGTAAATTTAGCATGTTTGGTTTTTGGACTGTTGGTTGGACAAAGCAAGACACTTCAAGACATCACTTTAGGCTGTGGGAAACTATAATGGGCATTTTCACAATTTTTGACATATTATAGATAAACCACACAGATTAATCAAGAACATAGTGAAAGTAACAGTTAGATAACAGTAAAACTGCAAGCAGTGTTGAGCGGGCCCTCGCACTCCGGCTCACCTCGAGATTTTTTTGTCGATTGACATTTTTTGTTCTACGTTGTTGTTTCGTCTGATGATGGAGAAAATAATGTACACAAAGGAAGAACTCCTGGCTTTAAAGTTTACCAGATATGGAGTTAAACATCCCATACTTCCCATAAGGAGCCGTACCGTGGATGCAGAGACGGGGCCAAGCTAAAGGCTAGGAGATGGAGATATAAGCCTTTTCTACCAACGATCCTCATGGGAAATGTCAACTCCCTGGCTAACAAGTGTGATGAACTGGAGACACTTGTGAAGAGCCAGCGAGCATATCGTGAGTGTGTCTCATGTGTTTCACGGAGACCTGGTTAAACGGCAACACTCCCGACCGTTGTGTGGATTTACCCGGCTTCACTGCAGTACGAGCGGACAGAGACGCCAGAGCAAGTGGGAAGAATCAAGGTGGAGGACTGGTTCTGCTTGTGAACAATAGATGGTGCAACCCCAGTCATACCACAGTGAAGGAGAAGATCTGCTGTTGGGATATTGAACTGTTGGCAGTTGGTCTTAGACCGTACTATGTACCGAGGGAGTTCTCACACATCGTCGCCATTGATGTTTACATTCAACCACGAGACTGTTGTGAGAGTACAGACCCAGCACCCTGATGCATTCATTGCAATATCTGGGGATTTTAACCATGTCACTCTCACTTCTCACCTGACTGGCTTCACTCAGTATGTTGACTGTCCCACAAGGAAAATAAGACACTTGATCTGTTGTATGCAAATGTTAAGGAGGCCTACACTGCTTCAGCTCTACCACCACTTGGCAGATCAGATCATAATCTGGTTTTTCTTCAGCCTTCCTACAAGCCCTGTGTACTGAGGCAGGCTGCAACCACCCACTCATTCAGGAACTGGACCCTGGAGGCCAGTGAGTGTCTAAAGGACTGTTTTGAGTGCACAGATTGGAATGTCCTGCTTTCCAAACAACCAACCCTGGATCACCAGTAACATCAAGTCCCTCCTCAAGCAGAAAAAGGATTTTTTCCATTGCATAGGTATTAAATTGAGATTAAACTGACAATTCTATTGAAATTTGACAATAATTAATGGACATGTCATATTCACCTCGTCACCAGAGCCACACCCTTGAATGAAAACTCACAATTTTCACAATAAAGTATCATCAGGGTCTAGAAAGTATTTTGTTGTTGATGAGGGCCAGGTCAACCTCCTAGGAAGGGTAAACTAAACAGTCAAACATGATGTTACAACAACATGCTGCCATGAGTATTACCAAATATGGGCATGAAGGTGTGTTCAGGACTCTTATCATATGTCTAATGTTTGGGGCAGTTTGGACAACACTTGCTGGAATTATAGCGAGTTGCCTACAAATTTTCGTGCATGTAGATGAAACACAGAGCAGGGGCTCAATTTCTAAAAATTTCTAGGTGGCGCTATCGAGCCATTCTGCCACACCCATGCGCGAGACCCATTACATATGTAAATTTTCACCAGGCCAAAAAATGGGAATACCACCCATTATTCCAGCTTGGGAGCATTCACCCATTAGAAAGGGGTGGGCAATATATCGAATATACTTGATGTATCGCGGCTTGTTCCATGTGGGATGTAGTTTGGCTCAAATTAACTGTGGGGAGGTTGCCAGTTTAGCTGGCATCACTTAGGCTTGTGTGAAAGCTGCCTGTCAAACAACCAACTAAACAACAAGACCAAGAACACCTGAAAAGCCACTCGGACTTGGTGCAGTTTGTTTGTGATGTGAAAGCTAAACGGATCTAACAGAGACTGATAATGTTTGACCATAACATAAATTCAAATGATAAACAACTATTCAACTTAGAATTTAAAATCAGAAAGTTTCTGATCAAACATTTAGACAGTTTTCTTTCTCCACTCTTCAGTCAGGAGTGTGTGGACTTCACCTTGATGCTGAGGCTGAAGGTGAAGAGGGATGGCACGGCGTTCTCCTTCAGCACTCGGTTGTTGCACTCTCTCTTGAAACAGTCTTTGGTGAAGTGCTGCGAGCAGATGTTGCTGTACTTTGTCGGCTTGAAGTTGTTCCTTCTCATCGCTGCCACCCATTTACCACAAACATCTGGACGTGCAAGAGGAAACCTGAGAAAGTCAAACAAACAAAAAGAGAGAAATATTAACGTATACTTTGGATTTTGTTTTCTCTCTTCAGGATTTATTTTATCATCAGTGGGATAAAATTTTACATTTTATCTATTTAACAAACCACTTAATATAAAATATAGATATGATCTGTCTGAATCCTGTTTATTCTGTGATACTGGTACATAAACTATTCTAGATTCATTTTGAGTTCATTTATGTTTAATTGTTCTGGACTGATGCTAAATATGTATTTGATACATTCTCTATTGTGTCTCCATGATATGGAGAGAGCCATGTCTTTATTTGAAAATTTCCCATTTTATATGGTAAGTTTTATATCCATAAATGTAAATTGTCTGAGAGGAAACCCAATATTCAGCCATTCAAGCATGAAATGAAACTGTTCACTAAAGGGACTAACAGATCAGAAAGCACCAGGATTATCATCTAAAAAAGCACAGAAACCTCTTTTTCATTCTAATTTTAATGTTTGCAACATTTCTTCTTCTTTTTTCATTAATAGTTTCATTCCTGATATTTTTTTCTGTATTATTTTATGATCACTGAATCAAAGACTGTTGAAAAAGGTCTCCACATGTTAACCTTGATCCAGCAAGGGAGTCCTACACATCAGGGACTGTAACCAAACTCCACTCAGAAGTGATGGCAATTTACATTCTTGCATTTCTGAATAAGACAAACACGCTAAGAGAATATAATAATATGTTTTAACCAACATGTTTAATGTAATAAAACAAAATTAGGTGAATGAAATGTCTTGTGTGTGTATCGCCACCATAACCTCCATCTATGTTACTACTTACTTTGGTGCAGGGAGTGTGCGACTGGCAGAAGAACTTGATACAAGACTTGACATTTATTAAAGAGATTAATGGTGCTTGTTGAGTTGAGCTGATTTAACCAGTGAAATCTACCGACGGGAGAACTGACGTGACACTTACAGCACTGAGCCGTGACGCTTTACACAGACTGATCAGTAAACGCAGGTTGGTGAACTCTCTGTAGTGTTCACGGTGCTCTTCCACCATGTCTGGACAGCTAACGCGGACTAGCTCACACTCACGGTTTAAAGAACTTACTTATGGAAGGAGATGTCTTTGTCTTTGTGGTAGCGGTTCTTACATCCGTACGCTGAGCACGTCTGAACCATGGCTTCTGCCCGAGCAGCGCTCACACACCCCGATCCACACTCTACCAGCCTCGTAGAACTGGTGGTCCTCCTGAAGCTGCCTTATAACCCCTGATCCTCCAGAGGCTATAGTTCTGCTCCTGCTGCTTCTTCTTCGTCTACTTCCTTCTGCTTCTTCTTCGTCTTCGGGGGTTTTACGGCAGCTTGCATCCTAAATGTGTCACTACTGCCACCTTCTGGAAAGAAGTGCACCATCTAGAACAGCACAAGGAATGACTGGATCATTTTCTGTTTTTCAGATTACAGTCAAAATCCTGGAGGCACAAGGACAAACCCTAGCAAACAGAGGTCACCACGGCCAGAGGAAGAGAGTGTTAATCCTCCTATGTTATACATATGTGTGTTCATATGTAGGTATATACGTATGCTGATGTTTAAAATGCTGGGGTCACTTTGACACCAAACATGAAAGATGGCTGTTTATTTTGACTTTGACAACAGAGGATGCAATAACAGTGCCAAGAGTCACTGTCACTTTTTACACACTAATGTTTTAGACAAAATAACAATCCCAAGGCTCTAAAACCAGATGTTTTACTAATTACACCTTTTCATTTTTGCTTTTAATAATCTTCCTTTTAGTTTCGGCTCATATTTTGTATTTATACTAAAAAACTATGTTCGCCAAATATTGGACTGATTTCTTTCAAAGACTTTTGAGCAGAAAAAATGGTTTTAATTATGTTGTTGTCTGTTTGTGACAAATCTGTGGCCCCACAGACAAGTATGAAAAGATCAAACACAATATATACTGTAATTACTACCATATTTACAGCCAGGCTGGCATCAGCAGTCTATGTGCTGTTATTGTTTGGAGATATTTCTGCAGTTTTTAATGATGAATAATCGTGGTGCTTTTTCAGCTAACTAACATTAGCACAGGTAAGGCCAGAGTTTTTGATCTGTTCAACTGCAAATCAAACAAAAAAAATGTAAATACCAAAATATTTCAACAGTTTTCTAAGGAAAAAAGTTGCATTATTTATAGCTAAATAGCTGTATTATTTGATTTAACAACACGTGATGTGTTCAGGTGTTAGTGTACTACGGCTCCAACACTCTCTATATAATTCAGGTCAAATTAAAAATGGCTAGGACAGGCTGATTCATGGGAAATGTAGTTATATGCCAACAAAATTAAGATGTGATGATTTCCAACAAATAATCTGTCAAAAGAAGAAGCTTTATTTATAAAAGTGTTTTCAACAGGGCAGGTTGGTCTGAAGAGCCTTATACAGCAACAAGAGACCAGAAATACACTGGAAAACAAGTAAATACACAGCACTGATATGTAACTATGACGTATGCGTCTGTATATCATCATGATACTGTAGAACACACTGAGTCCAGTAGTTGAGAAAAGCAGAAAAGGCCACAAGGCTCTTAAACACTGTAGGTTCAGGTTCAGTAGCTGCACACTGGCAGCTTATTTATAGTGTTGTGGTCTGTTATCCATTTGGTACGAGTGTCCTTAAACGCACCACCACAGAGAGAGGATCTACAGAGGAAAGATTATTAAAAAAGAGTTTACTTCAAATTAGGGACATTATTTGTCCAAATTATACATTAGCACGTGAATGCATCACTGTGACAGACTTCAGAAAGGAAGAAATAAATAGAACAAGTACAAAAAGAACTTTTTTGTATGAGGCCCTCAATTAATTTCTTCTCCTGTCACATTTATATGTTAACATTTACAAAAATGTTTGACCAAATTAAATTAAAAAACTTGCAGTGAAAGTGCAAAATGTAAACTGCAATCAGTTTTCTGCCTTTAGGAGATATGTCCAGAATCTCTGATTCGATATGAACATAACAGAAAAATAACTCTTTTTTGTTTCTGATGGTCTGCCATTCTTATTTTGATAGTTGTGTGCATCTTGTGTCAATTGTGTCAGCTGTGAAAACATTTCACTGGAAAATATTCTGTCCAGTTTTGGGCTTTTCAAAGGTTGGCCAGGAGTATCTTCAAAATCCTTTAAAAATACATTACTTTTATTCAAACTATAAATTCATTTATTTTCTTTACTATACACTGTTCCCAAAGGTCAGCGTTATAGCTCATTTTGGAGAGAAATCCCAGTTTTTCAAACAACTAATCTATTATTTTTTGATTAATTGTTTAGTCTATGAAATATAGTGAAAATGACTATCAGTGTTTCTCAGTGTCCAAGGTGACATTGTCAAATATTTAATCAACCAACAATCCAAAACCCAAAGACCTTCAGTCTACTATGAAAGAGAATAGAAAAGCAGCAGATCCTCACAACAGAGAAGCTGTGATCAAAGATAAATTAAACCATGACTGAGAATCTTAACAGACATGTTGTAATCAAAGAGCAGCTGCTGAGACAAATGTATTTATAACTAGGCCTGGGTGATAAAACCATAGTGATCTGTACCGGCAACAGACGCGTCATCAATACTAATATGAAGATTGATCGATAGAAAGTCAGATAGCTTCACAGTTGCATGAAACAACCCAGAGCGTGCCACCTCCCTGGCTCATAAACAGCCAATCACATCCCTACAAGTGACACAGAGTCAGGCATTCAACAGGTTTCAGTTGTACCAATAACAACAGAAGTGTGGAGTGAGAAAATGATCACAGCTGCTGAAGGTAGGTTGGTTTCTTTAATTCTGAACAATATCAAATCAATGCTGTGTGTAAACTGTGCAGGAAAACAACAAACTCATCACCTCAGCAACTCCCTTTGGATCACGCAACATGTCGTCAGTCTCGACCAACATCTGCTACATCTCAAGAGACAGGCCACAGGCTCCATGATGGAGAGGAGCTCAACAGCGACACCGTATGACGCAACATCCAAACGGTACAAGCACATAACCCACGCAGCAGTGTCCCACTATTCTCCTGGTCTTCACGAAAAATGGGTCACTGGAAATTATTAATAATAATCAATATTGAGTGTGTGGCCCTACTTTTAACTCACAGCAGAGATGGACAAAACTATCAAAAGATACAGACGCTTCTGCAAACACTGCCTTTAAACTGTGACCAATAAAAAGCTACTGTACAAGAAAGCGTACAGGTGTTTCAGTTCATTCAGTCTGAATGGTCTGCAGACGTCACACAGGAGCCTGAGAAAAACGAGTACTTCTGCTTTGCAGGAACTGGCTCCGATTTAATCTCATTTAAAGAAGGAAAAGTGCAACACAGAAGAATCTCAATGCTGTCAGTTGTGGTATGCTGAATGTCTCCAAGTACTAAAGTACCCATAAGCCTCAGCGGCCATTGTCCATCCAGACCAGTGAAATCAGTTTCATCATAGTCAGGATGCTTCATCACTGCAGACAGGAACAGAACAGGAGTCTGAAGCTCTCCAGGACTTCTGACTGACTTCTCTCGTTGTTGTGGACACAGTCTGCTGACTGTGACTCTCTCACATTTCTTCAACTCAATGTATCAACAGGAGAATTTCATGTGTCACTGAGCAGATCTTCTGTCTTCCTGCTCCGGCTGAAGCCCTGACATCATCTTCATGAACTGTTGATTGTTGGGATGCTGCTGGTGATCCACTGGCATAATAATGGATAGTGTTATTGTCAGTGCATAGTATTTCAACCCTCACTTGACCAACACTGTAATCATACAACCATCTTGATTAGGCTGATAACGTGAAGGTTTGCAAGTACACATGGGAATGTTCCCATATCCACAACACATGCCATATAACTTAATTGCAGCATTAGCAACCACTAAAGTATTAGCTTCCATCAGTCAAGTGCCAGTTGTCAATGGGAAATGAGACATGACGTTGATTCGGAATCAACTACTGCGATTAGTGACTCTGGGACACATAAATAAAACTGCCCTGACTTGACATATGATGAGTGGCGTATCAGAACTGAGTTGGTTCATATCTATCAACCATGTTTCAAACTCAGCATCTGTCTACAGCTCTGTCCCATGTCAGGCTCCACGTCCTTCACAGACTATGACGTATCACTTCACTTAGGCCGTCCAAATCCACTGGACATCTTTCTGTTGCATGTCACCAACAACTGTTGCAATGGGGAAAAGATGGCAGTTCTAAGTGATTTGCTTTCCACTTTAAGCTCTGAAGGAGAAAGTAAATGTACAATAATGAGTCATTTTCAGATGGCTAAAGTTTCTGTCTCCATGAAAGTGTGGATCTATTCCTTCCCCTCCTCCTGCTCCTCTTTGTCCTTGTCCTCCTCGTCCTCCTCCTTGTCCTCCTCCTCTCTGCCTCCTTCATCGCCTCTTTCAGCCTCTTTCTTGCCGCTGCCTCCATCCCCATCTTCATCACCACCAGCCTCATCCTCACCTTCTTTAGACTCTTCCTCGTCGCCCTCGCCCGTACCCTGAGAATACAAACACATTTTAGGATTTGACTGATGGTCTGCCTCTGAGAAGTGTCACATTGTTGTGATGTTTTCATCACTAATAAACTAACAACTAACTGGCTGGTTTAAGGTTAAAGTCAAGGTGGGTCTAGAGGTGTACCTGCTTTAAGCGGCTCCTCCTCCGGCTCGGGATTCGGGCCTTCATCCTTTGGGACAGCGCCAGCAGTTTGCTGTGTCTCTGCCTCCTCTTCGCCTTCTCCGCCTCCTCTCTTCCCTTCTCCTCCGCATGGTCCGAGTCCGACTCGTCCTGCCGCTGCAACCTGCTCCGCTTCCTGGGCTGCACCATCCTCTTCGGTTGGCTCCTGTCATCCTCTTCATCGTCCTCCTCTTCATCGTCCTCCTCACTGGAGGACGAGGAGCTGTCGTTGCCTCCCAGGAACGAGCGCTTCCTGCGGGTCACGGAGCGGCTGTCGTCGCTCGAAGTCGCCCCTGACTCGCTCCGGCCCCGGTAATCCTGCTCGCTGTCGTCCTCCGGGGAGCTCTGGAAGTCGGACTGGGATCCGGAGGAGGAGGAGGAGAAGGAGCCCTCGTCACTGTCGTCCAGTATGGAGGCGGGCAGGCCGATCTGCCGCTTCTTCGATGCAGCCACTTTGGTTTTCCGCATCGACGCGAACATTTTCCGCTTGTACAAACTCTCCATGTCTGCACGCGGAACTGGAGACCAGTGACATGAAACAGAAACTGGGAACCAGACTGAGAGTAAACAAGCTAACGCTGCTAGCTGGCTTGTAGCGTCTGCGCGTCTCAACGACGAAAACAGCCAAGGTCTGCGTCAAAACCGCAACAAAGCACCTGAACTCTCCTCCGTGGGCTTTTATTGTGGAGTCTTTTCACGGAAAACTTCTGTCCGTTTGTTTTTAAGCAACATTAACTACGTAACACCTGGACATGTCGGAGATTTTTACCCCAGTCCTGTTAGTTATGTTTTATTATGGCTCTTGCTTCTTCTTCGCTTCTTCTTGTTCTCCTCCTTCTTCTTCTTTGACGTTTTACGGCAGTTGACATCCACGATGTGCATTACTGCCACCTTCAGTTTCTATTGGGCCACTCACATTAAAGTTGTATCCAGTCTTCATTGAAAAACTATACAATTTCTTATTTTGAACGCTGTCTCCACAGTCTAATATACTTTTAACGTTGTCCTCTACCCGCCCTATTTTAATTATGTCATAAGTTCTTCTATTTTCTGTGTTAATTTCCTGCTTTATATAAGAATATACTAAACTGTCTTTACCGGGTATAGGGTTCGATTTGTGCCAAAATATGTCCACATGTGCAGTGTCTATGGCTATGGAAGCCGAGGGCTGAAGTACATAGACAAATGTTTTGTCACATGATGAGCAAAGAAAGACCATACTCGCAAATATTTTATATCCTATCTTCTCAAGATAACAAAGTTTGTTATCCCGAGATAAGGAAATATCATCAGGAGAAAACAATTTTTTGTCATCTCAAGATATTATGAGGAGAAAACTATTTGTTGTTATCCTGAGTTGGTGAGATATTATCAGAAGTAGAAGAGTTTTGGTTATCCTGAGATAACGAAATATCGTCAGGAGAAAACTGTATTTGTTATCCCAAGATAACAAGATATTATCAGGAGAAAAAGATTTTGACTGAACTTCATACACTAAGTCCTAGTGACTCTCCTCCGTAGCCTTAGTAATTGTAAGCTGACGAGGATCTAAAAATGATCTTGTATGAAAAGACACAGTGTGACCTCTGCACATGATTGAATTATTCTCTGGTGCGTTGATCAATGCGCCGCCCTGACATTTTCAGTTTTCAGCACTAGAAGTTTCCATCTGCATCTGATCTCTGATTAACAAAGTCATATTGAGAAAACAAGCTTTGTTATCTCCAGATAAGGGTATAATTATCTCGTTATCTCAGGATAACAAAAAATGGTTTTCTCCTGATAATATCTTGTTATCTCTAGATAACGAGCTTTGTTATCTCAAGATAAAAATATTAGCGAGTATGGCCTTTCTCTGTCAACTGATCATGTGACAAAACATTTGTCTATAGCCGTGACAAAACTATTTTGACAGTCAGATTGTCTGTGTCTATTGCTCACCTGACAAAACATATTTCTGTCAACAACAGTCAGATGACACATTGGAACAATGTGCACAACAACACAGTAAAATGACAGGAAGTGCAACAAGACGACAAAAGTACAGCACTACTGACACAGACAAACTACTTATTATTTACAAATATATCATTTATCATAATGGAGAATAAACTAGGACTTAATACACTCCTCTGAGGCATCCTGTTTCCTACAACATATTGGCTCGATCTGGCACTATCTGTACCTGAATAGTTCTCCCATCTAAAAGTCCGTAACCCAACTGAACATTTCCTCTCTTTTCCATTTAGTGCAGTTTGATTAGAAGCCCCTCTTTCTATAATATATCATAGGCATTTTCAACATTGAAAACACTGCAACCACTGCCTCTTTATTTACTTGAGCTTTTCTTATTTCATCCTCTAAACACAGTACTGGGTCCAAAGTGCTCATTTCTTTCCTGAATGTGCTTTGATACACCTCTACTTTCCACAAAGTACATTCATGTATTTATAATACGTTTCATTAATTTATAGACGTGCTCAAAGTTTTGGTCAATAGTTTCCAGGCATGCTGGCATCTTTTCCAGGTTATCTTTTTGGAATATTTATCACCTTCTTCAAGCTCCCTGGAATTCTTCTTATCCCACACTTTTTTATATAGCAGCAATAATTTCTCTAAACTTACTACAGTGTAAAAGTTTTATGTTATTGTCCTCTCTTTTAAAGTTATTTTCATCAATTAGAAATACTTTTAAAGAGAAAAAAAGTAAACTGAAAATATATTATGGTGTTAAAGGCTGTGTCAGGTGGTTGGACTCACTGCTCTCATCAGCGTCATTCCCAGCAGCAGCAGGCAGTTGGTTTCATTAGAAAAGCTCTGATACACCCCCTGCACCCTCTGACCTGCTCAGCAGCAAACAGCAGACAAACACAATTAAAGAGCAGTTGTTGAACACAGAGGAGCATTTAGCAGCTGGAGATCCTGATATTTTTACCCAGGAGACCAAAACAGAGCTAAAAGAGAGGGAACACAGGACTTTTCCTCAGATGAGCAGAACCATGACTCCAGTGGGATGACACCATTGGTCTGTAGGCAGCTATTGGTAGCATGCTAAACACAACAACTTTATAAGGTGGTAATATGTTCAGGCTGTGAGTCTGTCAGATGGTTGTGGAGCTCTTCTGCCTTTGAACGCAGCTTTAAGAAAGAAACCAACTGTCACATCGAACTTTTACTGGAATTTTAATGTTCACATGAATTTTTAACAGGTTTCTGAGTTTTCACTGTTGGTGTCACATCATGAAAATGTTGATATATCAGATTCTGGAATAATCTCCTTCAGTAAATGGGCAAAGTGAATGTCTGATGATCTCTGACCCCTAATGTGTCCTCTATCAGGTCCTCAGGACTTCTGTGCCAGCAGCGTGCTCAGTTTGATCTTCCCATCCATAGAGGCAGTCAGGCAGGTTCCACAGTCCACTGCAGAGCACCAATCAGCCGTCACTACTGGAGCTTTGTGCCCACCCAGCGACAGAACACTCTCCAGTGCCGGCTCCCCATTGGTCAGCTGGAAGAGGGAGAGAGGCGAAATACTGTAGGTTAACAAATAAAACTTTAAAACATTGAAATTCAATTTGATTCAGCAAGGGGAAACAAAAAGTGATGACCCTTATGTAAAAATAAATAAATAAAAATGAAATGTACTTTAAATAAACTAAAAAAAACATATTAAAGAAATTTGATGAACTGTAACAATTGATTTAACCAGTAAAAACTGAATTATTACACATATCTATTTTACTTCCTACTTATAAAAAAAACAAAAAACAAAAAAACAAACAGCATCAAAAAGACACTACATAAAAAACAAGTTACTACTGATATGATCCAAGAAGAGTTGAATCGATGGCAACTGGACGTGGTTGTAGATACGTAAAGACGTTTCAGTCCAGTTGCCTTCACACGCATTAAAATGATATGAAAAATAATGATAAATTAAAATTATTCAATACAAATAAGAATATTGAAAACAAGTTTAGAAATGAATAAAAACATTTAGATAATTTCAAGTTTGACCAAAACAGAAGTGTTGCTGAGAGGTGGACTAATGATGAAGATGAAGATGAAGGTTACTTACTCTGTATATGAGTCCTCCGGAGCTGGAACAAGTCAGGACATGTTGTCCCTCAGAGTCGAAGGCAAAGAGTCTACCTCGAGGAATCTGAACCTGAACCAGAGTTCAATGTGTCATTCCATTCATTCATTCTCTTATATAATTTTACATCTGCAGGATTTATTTTCTTGTGACCCATAAAACTTAGTAAACAAATAAAGATACTGACTAATGCATGTTTTTATTTTCTCATTATTTTCTTATGAAATAATTCACTGACTCCCTGCTAAGTCAGATTTGATCCTGTTCACTTATAATGTTGGTGAAAACTTTATCTCCCTGTTTCTCTAGTGCTGTAGTGGTCAGAAGAAGGGAGATAAATAGATGCTCACAAGCTGTCTATGAGGTAAACCAGTTATTTCCATGGTAACACTACGTACCTGTTTGTATCCACTGTACCCTGAGAGGATGAAGGGCCCAGTGGCATCCTGAGGTAAATCCTGCTCTGACTGCTTCACCCCACACCGATGGATGTTCCACTGGATGAACTGAAAACACACACACACATACACACACATACACATACACACACAGAGTATACATAGGTCAGGCCAGTAAGAGTGCTAGTGAAAAGGTAGAGGTGAAGACTTTGAGAAGACGCCAGTAAAAGCTTGTCAGACATCCTTGACCTCAGCCTACAGTATGTTTCATAATTAGAATCCTGTTCAGGTGTTCAGTCAGGAAGCCTAATCTTTTCCACTTTAATGTGAGGGCTGAGCAGGACTGCTATACTGCAGTGCCTGGGTAACACACCCATGTCTCCTCTCTCAATAATAATCTACCAGATCCAAACCAGTCTGGTTTCAAGAGCGGTCATTCCACTGCTCTGCTGTCAGTGATTGAAATCTTGCGGTCAGCAACAAGGGATGTCCAGTCAGTGGTTCTCATCTTGGAACTGTAGGCAGCCTTTGACACTGTCAGCCACCAAATCCTCCTGTCCCCCCTTCCTGAACCACTCATCTGTGATACAGCAGTACTCTGGCTTGAGTCCTGCCTCAAAGAATGAACACTGTATGGCAAGACTCCAAGATCATTCTCTTTCCACTGGTGTACCGCAAAGATCTATGCTTGGTCCCTCACTCTTCTTAATTATCACCTTGGTGCCATTATCCACTCACATGTTTTTTCTTACCACTGCTATGATGAGGCTCTGTTAATCCCACCAGACCACCCAACTGCCAGCTCGGATCTCAGCCTGCCTCTGTGATATCTCAACATGGATGATAAAACGCCACCTTCAACTCCGTCTCTTTAAGACTGGACTGCTGTTGATCCCAGCCAGTCCTGTTCAGCACAACATTAGTATCCAGCTCAGCTCTGTCTCACTGTAACCAACAAAACCCTCTGAAATCTGGGCTTTGTGAGTGAGAACTAACTCACTACCACTGATGTTGCTTTACACTAAATATCAGGCTGATCATGCACCTGTAAGCCTTGTGGAACATGTGTCAGGTGGAACTTTTTCTCCACGACTTTTCCTCTCCAGCTGATAAATATATAAATGTAAATGTAACACACACACCGGTTCATTCACTCCACTGCAAGTTTTAAAAGACATTTTTAGGATGTGTAGACATTCTGTCCATCATGATGTGTTTTAAACACACACACCTTGCCATCTTCTCCGATGCTAAAGACGGTGTTTTCATCATAGCTGAACTCCACACTGTAGACTTCTCCGTCGTGAGCTCTCCAGCTCATAGCGCTCTCATAGCGCTGCATATCTACATCAGTGAAAGGCAGAGGATTCACAGTGTTAATGTTTACGTTTTAAAGAAATTGCCACAAAACCACTAACAAGCAGAACAATGTTTACACACATACGATACATGTACATAACTACACATCACTGTACAAGTGAATTGGGTCACTAAAATCTCAGGCCAGATTTAAAAGTCTCTGCTGAGCAGAATGAATCTGTGTGGAATTTTAGGCTGTAAATCACAAATATAGATATTTTAATGTCACTTTGAGCTCTGGTATCGGTTTGTGATTGTATGTTGTTATTATTGATGATGTTTTACAGTTTACAGATGAAATGAATCATCAGATGAAGACTGACCAAACAGTCTGATGACTCCGTCAGCAGCTCCGGTCACCAGCAGGTTTCCATTGTGGTTGAAGGCCGTGCAGTTAATGGCTACTGGTTCAGGTTCTAAAGAGAATTGGAGCTGAGAGACAGAGTGAACAGTGATTATAATGCAGCCATAGAAAATACAGTGGGGTCCATTAAAAATATTTTCACCTGGAAATAATCAGAAATTTTGAGGATTCAGAAACATTTAAAACACAAAAAGTTATGTAAAATGAAGAAGAAATATTTAAGACTCTGCTCTATTTCTATGTCAGTGATCAAATTTAAGCAACTGAACTTCTGTGTACCAGAGGTCAGATTTCCTCAAGTTATATCCCTTCCACTGATGCTTGTGTTCAGATGACACTGGATCTTATCTACTCATCAGAGGCTGGTTGAAGTAACTCAACTTGCAGCCAGAGTTCACCTGATATAAATAAGACTGTTCCTCACGTTTCCAGCAGATCATTGCTAAGTCGAATTGTAATAGTAGAAAAATGGCATCAGAACTAAGTGAAAGTGTCAGAAGTCAAATAGTTATTCTAGGCAAAAAGGCTTTTCTCAGCATCAAGTCATGACTAGACTGAAGGTTTCTAAGGTGCAGTGCATGGACTCTAAAACGCTCTACAGAAACTGGATCAGTTGTATCTGAAGCACAATCAGACAGAGTAGAGAAGACTGCAGAAGTCCTGTCAAAGAAGGCTGTCCTGTGGTGGACTCAGAGGAAAAGGAGCAGTTTCTAAATCACTTCTCAGGAGGGAAAACAAGGCCTAACACTTGAGGTGAGTTGAGAAATACCAGCATTTCATAGCGCATGACTGGAAAGAAAAAATTCTATTTACTGCACAGCCTAATCCGGCGGGGGAGAGTTTAGCTTAAAAAAAATGGCCGCCACTTTCTCCAACTGGTTAGGGGAGTTTGTTTGCTGAATCTGCTAGTGTGTTTTGTCCTAGTTGATGATGTTGTTTGTGGTAGCATAGGCAAGGTAACGGAGAAAATAGTCGTGGTGTGAGGAGCAGTGATGGCTGGCATTAGGGGAGTGACTCTGGGACGCCAGTGATCACTGTCTAGCCTCCTGGAGGTGTTGTGGGACCAACTAGACGAAACACTGGTGAAAGGAGGTTCCCACCTGATGACCCCAAAGACATGTTAGTTATCACTGCTCATTAGTCTGTATAGCTGAATTAATAGTTATCATAGGATTTAGGATGTTAAGTTTAGGGAGCTATTCACTGAGTCTGGTCCATTTTCTGTAGCACAAGTTTCTTGTGTTTACCTTAAAAACTGATGAATCCAAATTTGAGATGTATGACAGTAACAGAGTCATGCTATACATGTATCTTTGTGGAGAAGGATTCATACCACAGTAGGATAAAATAACAATTAAATAACACCGTTAAATAACCATTACTGAACCAGCTGGTTAATTACCTGTTGTTTGACAGTTTTGGTGTCCCAGAGCAGCAGTTGTCCAGACACTGGTATAGGAAGTCGAGTGACAGACTCGACACTTCCAGATCGACTGAGAGCTGCAGCCGAACACACAAATGATGATCCGCTGGGACTGCAGGCTAAAGACAAGATACTGAAAGACAGACAAACGTCACATTATTATCTGAATGTGTAGTTCAACAAACAATATTATCTACTGATGCGTGACAAACCTCTGGTCAATTTTGTCAAGTAATAGTTCCAGCCTGTACTTCCCCCTAAAACCACAAACTGTCCTTTTAGCCATGCTGTCAGCTTTTACTGTTTAGTGAAATGTCTTGACGGCCATGTTCCCTGCAGGATGAATTGTAATAACTTTGGTGATGCTCTAACTTTTATTTTGCTAATTAGGAAATGTTAGCATGCTAATATCTTAAGAAGGGTGAACATGAAAACCATTACCTCAGATTTGCATGTTAATATTGTCACTGTAAGTATGTTAGCAAGCTGATTTGGCACAAATCATCCTTGTGTCCCTAAGCACAGCCTCACAGAGCTGCTAGCATGGCTATGGATTCGTAGTCTTGTTACTTCTCTGTATATGGTTTAAATAAATTTGACACATTATGTTAGTTCATGTCATATTCAAGTTTAAACCGTAATTATGAGCAACTGATTGGGAAAAAAAGATCATGTCATCCTTAATTTGTAATTCAGAATCAGAGATATACCTACCTACCACCTACAATATCTCCCACCTGGGAGATTGTTGGCAGAAAACCACTAGCAGTTACTTAAAAAAAAAATCCAATATCAACACTAATACAACTCATTCAGCTCTTTTCATAGTTGCTACATGCTGTGGATGCAGTATTACAGACATGAGATTGATATTAATCTTTCCATCTCAGAAACAAAGTTAATATGCTTAACTGTTCTTATAAAGCTTATAAAGCTATGTGTATTTCTACTTGTACTATCAGCTGATCCTCCACTCTACACTTCTACATGCAGTGCAGTCACTTCATACAGTACCGTGGATGAGTTTCATCAATGTTCATCTCATAAAGATTCTTCTTGGCATCGGTGTCATACAGCCGCACTGTGCCCACACCGCTGCCTAGTAACAACTGACCCCACACACACACACACACACACACCCACACACACACCCACACACACACACACACACACACACCCACACACACACACACACACACACACAAATTTGTTTTTATTACATTAGCCTACATTCATTGACTGGAGACTCAGACTTCGTGTGAGCTCCTTTCATTGGGAGGAGTCCCCACAATGCGACAGTGGGACAAGTTGTTATCACCACATCGTAATACAAGTACACTTATTTGTGTCTGACACAGACAGTGTAATAAGAATATGTTGAATTTCTGACCTAATCAGAATCAACTTCCACTGGACCACTGTTTTTATACTTTTTACTGCTTTGTGTTAAATTTTTTTAAAATTAAATTTAATTCTATTTGTCTTTGCATATCCAGGTCCCATGCTGTATTGGATCTGTGTTTTCGCTCTTGGTTCTTTGTGTTTATACTTATGTACACACAAAAATTGAACAGGTGTGTTATCTACATTTTGTTTAATAACGAGTAGAAGTAAAGAATTTGTTTTATTTTATTAATAGTAGAATGTCCCAAAGAATCACTGTTTTAATCTATTTTTAGTAATCAGGTTATTTTCTGACTTCAGCATTTTATTGACGATGTAAATAGTGTTTCTTTCATCAGGTTAAAGTATTAATACAAACCTGACTAATACTGTTAAACACACAGTATGTAACTTCTGCAGCAACTCAAAAAATATAGAATTTAGGTCCAGTCATTTTATAGAAAGTTTAATGTGGAAAAATTACATATTAAACCTTAAATATCTATGTCTATAATGTAAAATAAATGTAAATGTAAATGTCTATACTCAGTTAATCTGTGTCTCTTGTTCATACCAGTCTGTCAGGTTTGGTGGCCCACTCCAGAGACAGCAGAGGAGACTTGGACATGATGGTGGCTTTAGTCTGTATGATGGGGTTGAATGACCACACCTGAGGAGGAGGAGGAGGATGAGGAGGATGAGGAGGAGGAGGACGAAGGCTTTATTGTGTGTTTCAGTTAGTTATGGATGCAATTGTGGAAGTAAATTTGTTCATAAAACCCCATCAGAAAATGATAGAGACTCACCTTGATGACTCCATCTACATCTAAACTGGCAACCCGGCGACCAGAACAGTCAACCCTGAAAGAGAAAAAGGTGAATTTTTGTTTTCATTAAAGGGAACCAAAAGTTCACTCCTGTCCAGTTGTAGTTAACATCTGGATTCTACCAGATTATGTTCAATCTGCTCAGAAACCAAACAGGTTCAGAGGTGTATGAGACACTGTGGAAGGAAGGAGTGAGATCAGGCTGTAGTCCTCAGCCCAGTTTAACCAGTTAAAGTGAACTGGGAGCGCTGAAGACATACCTGCAGTGCATGATGGAGGAGTGGTGTTCCCCATATTCCTCCTGGCTGAGTTTGATGAACGGCTGTTCTGCTGACAGACCTCCTCCCTCTGCTCCTCCTCCGCAGCTCCTGCTATTGGAGGAGGAGGCCGAGTCAGGAGGTTCACTGCAGGTCTCGGCAGGAGGCTCCACCTCCCCAGTCTCCCCCTTCTTCTCTGGTGTCTGAAGACAACACATGAAAGGATGCAGTTAGTGTTAATGAAGTCAGTGATCAGTTGTATTAGCCTTTAGATGCTAACTGCACTCGTCGTCTACTGCAGGCGGCTGTGGCTCATGAAGTATCAAAAGGTCGGAGGTTCAATCTCCCAAGTGTCCTTGGGCAAGATACTGAACCCCAAATTGCCCCCGATGTGTTATCTGTGTATGCGATGTGTGATAGAGATGCGCTGTGTGTATAGCAAGTACTGTATGAATGTGTGTGTGATTGGGTGAATGTGACTCATTGTGTAAAGCGCTTACAGTAGTCGTTAAGACTAGAAAAGCACTACATAAATTTACCAGTCCACCTATGGAATAATGGTACTTTGTAGCAATTGAGAAACCATTTAGCTGGTGTTGTAGAGTTCAGTCTAAATGCCTGCATTACTCTTAGTGGGGTATATTTAAATTATGAGTTGGGATGTGTTGTCAGAAAATGAAAAAGAAGTAAGCTGAGTTACAGTATATTTTGTGGATTGCTGTATTTGTTTATTTTCACAGTTTGAAGCCCACCAACCTCACTTATGTGTGAAGTTTGGCTTAAATTCAAACTCCAGCCTCTCACTGGACAAAACCCACTAGAATCCCCTGGAGTTCCTGTGGCGCAGCTGTGATGTCACCAGGTAATAATACCCAACTCGCTCTGCTTCGCTCTGCTTTTTCCCAAAGCTCCAGGTTCTTTCTCCTGTGACATCGGTTGCTAAATGGAGCCACCCTGCTCAAATGTCTGAATTCAACCTTGAACCTGGGGCCACAAGTCTTTAACATGCAGACTGAGTGAGCAGACTTTTGGTATACAGCCTCCAAAATGACGATAGTTTGAATTTTTGGCGAGGGGATAACAAATTACACGTTTATTGACCAGATGGGTCTACGCGCACTTCAAAAGCTTTCTGAAGTAACTAAAAGTTAAGAGGCTTGTGTCTGGGTAGAGACTTTAGTTATCAATAGTGTGCAATGTAAGCTGTATTGCTAACTGTTGTGAAGGATGGACTGTGTCCAGTGTTTGCTGTCAAATACCGTTGTCTGCAGATGCTTGTGTTAGTCTCACAGCCACCATTAGAGACAAGAAGCTGCAGTTTTACTGGTTAAAAGACCAGTGCTAGGTCTTGCTCTGCTTTGGTTGCTTCTTTCTCTCTCCTTCTTACTAACACACACCTACACACACGTGCACACACTCACAAACATCCTTGGCGTGGCAGTGGAACCCAGGTCACCCCAGCACCATCTTCTTACCAGAGGCACATCTTAGATCACATCTACTCCTTTGTTTCTCACCTCCCCAGTTCAAATTTCACGATTGAGACACCATCTTTAGCTTGCACAAGACGTTCTGACTCATGTGATCTCGTCCACCATCTTTCCCTCTCTCTCTCTCCACACACCAAACCCATTCAAACACACACACACACAGAAATGTGGGACTAATCTGTGCGGATACCGTCTTTACATCGTTTCACTCACTGTGATAGAGACTAGGGTTCGTGTTGAACAGGTTTGTGGTGGAAAAGGCTTTGTTAGATGTGATGATGATTCTGTATTTACTCTGAACAACTTCTGCATCAGCAATATGTAGGACAAATCACAAGCAGCTTATCACAGCTCCTGCAGTCCCCATCCTCCCTGCAGTCACTGTAGCCCTGATGCACAGCTAAGTTTATATAAGGGGCACATCAGATATAGCGTAACCTACGGTGCAACCTTAGAGCACAATGCAAGTAGCTGCTGCAGATAATCCCTAACATAAACATAAATCCATCTTCATAAGTGTGGTATTGAACTTCTCATCTAACTCTTGACAAGAAAACAAATAAACGTATTTTACTATTCTTTTTAATAAAACTGAACAGGCATCAGATTCAGTAGAAATACACCAAACAGGTGTGACAGCTTAACGTCAACAGAATCATTCTCTCAGGTACCTGTTGTGGTGGTTTGGAGAAAAGCTCCTTCCTCTCTTTCTCATGGTCCTGGATTCTCCTGTGTCTGGGATGTGTCAGCTGGTTTGTTGCCTGGTTTGTCGACTGGTTTGTTGACTGTTGGGACTGGGAGCTCGCAGATTCACTACTTGATGCCTGACTTGCAACTGGCTTCACCTCCTTAGTTTGGACTGTGTCTCTTGATTTTGCAGACTAGAAAAGACAAATTCATTTTAGATACAAGATGATCTCGGGTCAGAACTCTATCTGCCACTCACAGTGGTGAGGACCTTCAACATGGCTGCCAGAGGAGACCATTAATGTAGAAAAAACACAGCTGAAACATCTGTGTTGCCCCCTACAGGTAAATGAATAAACCAATGACTATAAAGATGGACGGCATGACAGCTTCCTGAAAGTGAAGCCAAAACATCTTGATTGCCCCCTGGTGGCTCGCTGCAGTACAGGTCATAAACTTCGCCCCCTTCATGTTAGCAGATATGACATGGGCCAAACTAAAAAAACAAAGACGGCATCGAATACATTTTTCCCCAAAGATGGTTTCTGCCATTTTAGGTAGTTACAGTAAGTGTTCATTTTTCTGATAGGTGCAGTTTTAATTAGTTATTTGATGTTGAAAATGACGGAGAGAAGCCATGATTGACAGCTACAATTGACTCGCAGTTGAGTCTGGTGGGTGTATGGGCGGGACCTCGATACCACAGCTCCACCCCTCCATCATTTCTGGGCAGACTTTGGCTCCAAATGACATCACCAGTGCAAGATGGCATCACCTGTCTCCAGAATATTTTGGCTTCATTTTTGTACAGTGAGAGGAAGTGGAGACACATCGTCCATCTTTATATAGTCATTGGAATAAAGCCACAACATCTGAGGGTAAAGGGGAGTGGCGTTGGTGATAGTGTCACAGACAGAGTCATACCCAATCAGACCAGCCAGTGGGATACGTCTATTCAGTAGTTGATTTCCAGAAGGTTCACAAAGATTCAGAATTTTACGTTTGGTTCATGATTTCATTGACTGGATGGTAACTTTCTAAATCTCCACTCACATCAGAATGAGGTAAATGATCCTTAGAGCTGAACTTGTGAAAACATTTTCTTGACTTTGTATAAGTACAGAGAAGTTGGGGATTTTCCCATTAACTTCAATAAAGTACAATACTACAGCTGAACACACCCACCAATCAACACCAATCAACTTCCAGAGAAATTAATTTTACTGTTTTCAATCCCGCTGAGCTTTTAAACTTCTGCTTCCCCAACTTGCTTTTACCTGACTGGTTGGTGCGTCCTTCCTGCTCACCACCAGTTGGCTTGGTGAAGACCCAGCAGTAACCTGAGGTGGTTTCCCGGGTGTGCGTCGGCCCTGTGGTAGGAATGTAGAGAAGAAATTTCTGGAAGGAGTGGTGGTGGTGCTGACGGCTCGCTGGCTTGACACCAAGTCCCTAAGAGGATGGAAGGAAGACAACCAAGAGTGAAAAAGTTTAACAACAAAACTGCTGAATGAGTGCAAAACAAATCCAAGCTGCAATGAAGTCAAGATTTAAGAGCGTGCAGAGATTGACTGTTAAGAGCTGAACAAAACTTCTACCCATGAACACTTCCTTATTTTGGAGATTTGGATTAACTTTCCAAAAGCAAAGCACGAGGAGTCAGTGTGGTAAAATAACTCCACTATGGAACAAGACATTCATGACTCATACAACAGGAACCAGGATCCACCAGCAGAACAGAAACACTAAGACCAACAACAAAGGTCTGAAGTGTCATTGACGATGACTTCGTCTGGTAAATTTGCCCATGTTTTGCTGTAGCCTTGTTTTTAGGCTAAAGACCAGCTGTTGTCCATTTGCTTTGTCATTAGCCAGGTTTCCATCCAAATGTAGCAAAAAATTCTAATTAATGAACATTTCCATCCACTACAGTTATGTGAATATTAGGAGCTGTTTCATCAAGATAAACATCTGGTGGTGCTAATTCTCCAGCAAGTTGCCATTGAACCATTCCTGAAGAAGAAGACACAACCAGATAAATACAGTCAAACCTCAAACTGTGGAAAACCATGTCGAAAATGTGATGGAAATTTAACGTTTCTGTTTCATGTATTCATTTGAGTAACTTTACAGACTCCTCATTGCTCTACACAGATCTGCTGTTTTATTTTTAGTCTGTTCAGTGGTTCTGAAGCTTCAGTGGATGTTTAAGTTGCATGTTTCATGTCAGTCATATTTAGTTCGTTAAGTCTGTTTCTATTGCACTTTGTTGCATCTTGCTTTCATCAATACATGCATGAAACTTTTGTAAAATTAGAACTTTTTCTGAAAACAAAAAATGAAAGCACAAAAATTAAAATGTAGATAACTAGAATTATCAGCTTGTGGCTGTCTGCCTCCACCTCTGTGACTAGTTTCAGATTACATCCCTGTTTATCCAGTCATAGAAAATATTAATCATTTGTGTGAAATTTTGTTTTGGCTAAAAAGTGTTTTGTGAGGTCACACCGACTTTGAGCTTTGACCACCACAATCTAATCAGTTCATCATTGAGTACCAGTGGATGTTTGTGCCAAATGTCAAGGGATTCCCTCAAAGAGTTCTCGAGATATTGTGATCACGAGGCCAACACTGCGCTTTGTGAGGGCAACGTGACCTTGACCTTTAACTACCAAAATCAATTTGTCCCCGATTCCCCTGAAGTGAATGTTTGTACCTAATTTGTAGATGTTCCATTAAGGTATTACTGAGATATTGTGTCCATGAGAATGGATAGACAAGCTGAAAACAATGTGCCTCCAGGCCCTGACTATCACTGGCACGGAGGAATGGATGCAACACAACTACTGATGCTATCTTTCTCCTTATCACTGTTTAGTCCTGCTCATAACTGAAAGTCTGAAGTGCAAAGCAACGTTCATCCACATGTCCTTGAAAAATAGGTGGTTGTATAAGCTTGTTGACAATGAAGACTACTTGAAGGGCTGTTTAGTAACCTACTGTAGCAGGCATGCTAGTATGCTAACCAGCAGGAAACATACAAGTGCTAGTGAGTAACTGTAGCTCTTCAAGTTAGCAAATGTCAGTACTATGAAGATCCTAATGGTCAAAGAAGCAAGTGTGAGCATCAAAGTTGAAAAGTTTGAAAAGGAATGTGAAAGATTTGCTGTGTCCATGAGCTTATTCACTATTCACTGTTTGAAATTCTGGTGGCACCGAGTCGTTAAAGATTTTATATAGAGGAAGTCAGTGATGAGGAATTTTCTGTTATCTCCTTGTCCAGCCAGGGACCTTTGCTGCATGTCATTCCCGTCACTCTTTCCCCTCAAGTTCTGTCATCTCTTTACTGATGACTCTATGATTAAGGCACAACAATGCTCCAAAGATACTGTGATGGTCTTGGTCTTGGCATCCCTGAGTGATGGCTGTTTTGCTAGGTAGCAGTTGCTTAAATAATGTAAAGGTAACATAATTTAATATGTCACTTACCTCAGTGACGTACTGTATGTTAGCCCAAACAACATCTTCATCTGATCAGCTCACTGTTTCTTTATATATATGTACACCTTATCTGCTGACAGAAAACTCCCTACAGGACCGGGTCTTTGTACACCTATTTTAACGCACAAAGCAATTAGCAGTTGCTGAAGTTGATGGTTATGGCCACAGGAAGCTGTGAAGCAACAGAAGGAGAAATGTCTATAATGACAAAGACTTCAACAACTGCAGTTTTGGAATATAAAAGACATAATCAGGGAAAGACAAGTACAAAGAGGAAATGTTGAATTGACTGAATTGCCATGAAATTTTGTATAAACATCCATGATCCCCAGAGGAAGATCCCTAATGACTTTGGAGATTCCTTGCCTTTCCCTCTGGCACCACAAGCAGTTTTTGTTTCTTAGTAAAATGTCTCCACAACTATTGAATGGGTTGCCATTAAATATGGCACAGATAACCATATTGCTGAGGATGAATTCTACTGACTTCAGTGATCCTCTGACTTTTCCTCTAGTGCCATCATCAGATCAACATTTGTGGTTCAGCGTGAAATATCTTGACAACTCTTGGATGGATTCCCATGCAATTTCTTGCAAACATTGATGGTCTTTGTGAACTTTGGAGATTCCCTAACTATTCATCTACAGCAAAATTTCTAGTGGTCCAATACTTTGGTTTATCTATTCAGTTTTATCACAAATGGAACCTCATGCTGTTTATTTTTTCCTTTTTCCTTTTTTTGTTTTAAGAAAATGTCTTAATGTCTTACAATTGCTGCCCAATATGAGGCATGTGAAGTAAGAGCTGAATGAATTTCCCCTAGGGGATAAATAAAGTATCTATCTATCTATCTAAGTTTTATGTTGCTGTAAGGAAAGCTGCAACAAGATTTTATGTATTTATTGGATTATTTGTGTTATCTATGTATTTTGAAAATCCAAAAATCATGACAATCCTCATTTTACTTTATTAAATATCTTGTTTAAAAAGTTGATTAAAATGTTTTGGTTGCTACTGTGAAGACATTACTTCTGAGAAACATGAAAGATCATGATTTATTGGGATATTTTGAAGGCCCTTATATTTGTAAGGTTCTTGTTAGGGGTCATTATGGGGAAAATTTTGTTGCTATGCTGATGACATCAAACTCTATATGGTTGTTGATGCCAATAGAAAGGTAAACAATATAAATAAATAAATAGTTTTTTATGCTGGTACTGTTGTCCCGTTTTATATATAATTGACTGCTTTCCATTGTGACATGAATTTTTCATGCCACATTAAAATCAAATCATTCCACAGCAAACAAATTCATTCAGTTATTTAACAAACTGATTCAGTTATTGAAGACAAAAATAAAAACAAACAGAAAAATTTGTTTGGTTTTTACAGACAAAGGCTAAAGTATAAAACTGTCCTTTTAACAAATGTTTTAATTTGATTATGACACAGTAAGTGCATACAGATAAACAAAATATATATTCAAATATATATTGTATTTGACTTTTCTTCCTTTGTTTAAGTTTTTTTTTTATTTAGGCATTTTGAATCTTCCATAAGAGAGCACTCAACAGGCTCCTACTAGCAGAAAATGCAGCTGCTATACTTTTAACTAAAGCCACTTATAGCATTACTACGCTAGTTATCATTTGTTGTATTTGAATTCACGTTTCAGCGTTTGGCCTGAGGTCCTCTGACAAGAACCTCCTGGTTTTCCCGTGAATACAATTAAGAATAACAACCACATTTAGAGGGAACCGTGGCTTAGCACTCAGGCTCTCCGAATCATAATAATACTAAACTAATACTTCTAATTTTCATGTTTTAAAACTCAATGTCTCATTATGTTTTATACTAGCATTTTTTAGTGGCAGTATTTATTTTAGAGTGTACTGTATTTGATAGCTCAGTCTACGGTTCTCTGTCAGCGTGTGAAAACCCTAAATGAAATTTTAAAAAATGGATCGAACTGACAAGAAACAACAATTCATCAGGTGAATTGTTTATTTGGCAACATCAACCGCATCACAGCACACAGTGTATAACAGCATAAATATAGTATCATTAACAATAAGTTAGTTAAAAGCCTTTTAAATATATATTTTATACGAACAGATACATAATAAATCTGCAGATTGTTCTGCTTCAAAGTGCCTGAAAATTCTTTCAAAAGTGACTCTGGGATGAGGATAAGAGGTTTCCGAATGACTGCCTGTTAAAACTTCACGTCTAAAAAAATCCTCACATCCTTCCTGTCTATTATCATCATGTTTTAAAATAAAACTTCTCAAAATTCAGACTGAAATCTTTGAACTCAAATGATCTTAATAACTTTTCAGTAGCATTAGCTCAGAACTTTACTAACCGTCATTCAGCAGGAGGTTGGCCACGTTATGGCCTAAAATTCAGCTAACAAAGAGTTTTATACCATACCACATATTAGACGTTTCAAATAAAATACCAGGAAGACAGATGCAGTCAGTCGATGCAGTGAGGTAAAACTGAAAAAAGAGGCTAGCATGCTGAAATGCTAATATCAGAAATGTGTGTGTCTTTGATTGGTGGTAAAAAATAAAAAACTTTTAAAAACTATCAGGATGAAAAACACTAAACCGCGAAATTGATAGAAATTCAAATTTAAAAGACCATTTAGGTAGAAGATGTAAGATAGCTGCCATCTGTAACTCCAACACATGATACAGTTTCTATATAGTTTACATAGTTTTTGATATAAGTGCTTAAACTGATATAAAACCAGAACGTAGTTTATACCTGATAATCTTTGTTCCACACTGTTTTTATCCAGAGAGTTATAATACTTTAGTTTAATTTGAAGCATGGCCGCCATCTTGGGTGCACTGAAGGAGTCAGTGGGATCAGGCATGTTATGAACAGATTGATTCTTAGTCCAATAAATAACTTTGGTTGAAAGCAGATGTTGTCAACTGTATTTTAAAGACTTAACACTACGAACATTTAAAAAACTGACAGAATGGCAGCCATCTTAGTTGTGTCAGTCATCAGTAAAGACAATGATGTTAGTGTCTCACAGCTCAGTGTCTCCCAGACGGTCCATGTTCTGAACGTATGCTGGCAGTTTGTGGTGGACCATCTCATCTCCATCCTTCTGGTCCCGGGTCTCTGTCTGCAGGGCAAACAGCTGGATGAGAGAGGACAAGACAGACAGGTCAGCTATAACATATCCATCCACCCACCCTCCATCTACCCAAACTTCATCAAGGGACAGGAACTACATCATTGAAATCATTTAACCTCAGGACAGGGCTTTTTATACAACTTGAAATTTTTATAAACTACACAATGGGACGTTTTATAACCAAATTACTGAAAATTATTAAATAAATGATGGGATTTTTTTAAAACCAAAAGATTTGAATTTCTACAATATTGGGACTTTTAACTTAAACCATGCAACTTCTTAAAACATTTTTGGCTGGACAGCAATAGCAGGTCCAGTCCTATAAACATAAATGTCACTGACTCACTGACTGACTGAGTGATAAGGTTACATTATTGGTCGGCCAGTCAAGTGTTTCCCAATTGGTCGTTGCTCTTTCTAAATGAATTTGCATGAACAAGCAGTGTTACCAATATAGCACCTTTGTCACTAGATTAACTGACTTTTCAGACCCTTCAGCAACCATGGCAACAAGAACAGTTTTGGACAAACCTTAGCTACATTCTGTAGAAGAAAGTCACCAGTACCCAAGAGTGAGGTCAGCCTTCCCTCCGCAGAAACACCTCTCTCTGCTGATCACGCAGCAGCTATCATGAATGAGCTTCTAACTTTCTCTGGGAGTGATCATGTTACAGTAAATCTAGCTGAAATCACAGCTCAGTCTTTGTCTTTAACTGATGTGTTTGGTCACGTTGTCAGACGACCTCTGATTTTAGCAGCAGCTTGGAAGTGACTGCTGGTTAACATGTAGCAGTGTTTCCTCTACATTCATTTAGCAGTGGCGGCCCGCCACTGCTAAATCATAGCCGCCACGCCTTCAAATTTCTTTTTTTTTTTTTATTGTCGCAAATGCACCACCGCCACATCTCTGCACCTTCACAGCACAGCCTGTGTGATGATGAGCGCAACAGCGGGGGGAGGGGAGGAGAGGGGAGGGAGGGAGTGGGGTGGTTGGGGGATCCTATTGGAGTTAATTACTGCGAGAGCGCAGCCTTGAAAGTGACGTCACGTCAGGCACCAGGTCAGAGTCAGAGAAGTGTAGTCGTGAGGAATAAGGCAGCGAATTACCGGAGAAGAGGTAGACTTATTAGCCAACTCAGTGACGCTAACTTGGGTAAACTAATTGATAGCATTAAGCTAATATCTACACGTCATTATGTATTAACTGCTGACTGCATTTTCAGATGAGCTTGTTCAGATACTTCTCTAAGAAGAGAAAGACAACAGATGAAGAAGACGCTAGTCAGGTAGCCTATCATAAGCCTTTTACTGACTCGTAAATGATGATGGTTAGGTAAAAAATAATATTTTAATGTTCACACTTGTAATCAGATGTGATGTGAGTGTAAACTATATAACGCTGAAAATCAAGTGCTCTGAGCCTGGGTGCAAACTTTGCCCCCCCCCCCGGAGAGCATGCCCCCCACTGCTGAAAAAAATCCTAGAGGAAACACTGATGTAGTCCTGACGTTTCAGTCACTGTTTCAAGCTTGTTCCATTGTCATGACAACAGAAACAGATAAACATGTCAATGATAACAGCTTTATTGTGAATTCCACTGCATTAAAATACTGTATATGTGAGGGCAGAGAGGAGAGAACAGATAGAGAGCTGAAACCAACTGACACTAGACTGAAACTAGACAGAAACCAGCTGATACTTGACTGAAACCAGCTGACACTAGACAGGAGGCAAATAGCCTACGATGCGGTCCAGCATATACTTGGTTTTGACTTAGTCCTGTTGACTAGATGAACAGATAAATGGTGTGACTTTTTTAAACTAAATCACCAGATAATGAAAGACGACGATGGGACTTTCAAATACATAATCAAACTCTTTAAACTTAATTATGAGACTTTTTTAACCAAATGAGGCGACTATTTAAAGCACTTTAAATGATTGAACTTCTTGAAACATTAAAAGTTGCGTTCACCACACAAGGCATAAAATGTGCATTAACTTTTTGAATACATTTTTCTATTAAAAAGTTTGGGTGTTAAAAAATTCCTTTAAAACAGGACACACTGTTGGAAGGAAGTTTGTTTGTTTTCTTCTCACCATCTGTCGGAGCTGTTCGTTCTCTTCTGTCAGACTCGTCGTCTTCTGGACTTCAGCATCAAAACTCAGAAGGACGGGCTGAGGTGGAAAACAGTTAAGGACTGGAAACCATCAGATCCAGAATTTAAATGACACAGACACAGTGGATCAGCATCTTATTCTTTAGAGTTTCAGACATGCATCACAACATCTTCACTATCATATCTAATCCAGCTACAACCTAGACATTCAGCTGTATTGTTGTTCGTGACGTAACTGAAGGATATGCATACACTGGAAGAGCACCGACAGGAAGTTGTGCAGAGAAACCAGGAAGGTGTCGGCCCACTGGCGGGAGAAGTATGGAGAGAAGGCGGGGTTCTGCTCGGGGGCGGGGATGAAAGGCAGGATGAACCAATCACGCCACTCGGCCTGACCCTGCAGCTCCATTGCCTGCTTCTGGAAGAATTCCTGAGTCCGCTCCAGGTTTCCTTTCTGGAGGGAGAAGAGGATGGAGGAACGGTTTTACCACAGAGATTTTAACTGCGGTTCTGTTTCAGTAACACACAGTGTGATCTGGTTCATTTCTCTGCGGGACGTTACCTGGATGGTGTTGATGACGTAGTATCTGTACAGGCTGGTTCTCAGTTTGTTGACGGTGGATCTGTAGACATCCTCCAGTCGGCAGAACAGACGCCTGTCCAGGTAAAGCCAGTACTCCTTCAGACCAAACAGGTCGAAGCTCTGGATGAACTGCTGCAGCTGATCGATGATCTTATCCACCTGCAGAGAGACGACGGTTTAAAAAGAATCTGCCTGTAAAACATCCCTGTCTGAGATTAGGAACAACAACCACTTAAACTTCATCATTCTTTGTGTTCATTGTCACCCTGAAGCCTTTCTCCTTATCGACTTTGATCTCGCTGTCCAAATGTTTCAGAGTGCTGGTAAAGCCACGGTAGATCAGATACTCCTTCACATGTTCGTCTGTCCTCTCCACAGCTGACCCCATGGTGACCTCTGACCCTGCAAGGTACAATATAATACAGTGTTTCATACAGTTACAATACAATTTTTCAACTAATCAGAGAAACTGATCTGTGTCTTCTGTATTTCTTCAGTTAAACTGTTCTGATCATATGTTGAACTGTAGCTGGATATTTTGTTTTTCTCTGTCTGTGAAACAGAATTGGCTAATGATGAATTTCAGAGGAATTCAAAAAAAATGATACCTCATATAAAATGCAACACAGCAGAGAGAAGATACAGAGACTTCAGAACACAGCTTCACTTTATTGTGTTGGAGATTTAATTGTAAATGGATAAAACTGCCATTTTGCTCATCAGTCTACACTCAATAACTCACAATCACAAAGTGAAAACATGTTTTGAGAAATGTATGTAAATGTATCCATTTACAATCAAATCTACAACACAGTGTGCAAAAAGTGAAGGGGTCTGAAGACGTTCAGAAATCAGTGTATGTTATGTTAGATGTCTGACAATAGAAAAGAAGCTGTGGATGTCTGATTTAACTTTTGCTCTCCCGATACTGATTCAGATACCAGCTCAGGAATCTGCTCTCACTGAGCACTGATCAGAGACCAGCAATTTAAAATCTGTAAAGCTCACTACAGGGAAACTTACTCTACTTTATAGAAACTATATGCAAGATAACACGAGGTCAGAGGTTACTTTGACAAAAAGTATGGGACCAAAATATTGATATTAACTGAGAGCAGAAATTCTATATCTTATCATGTCATAAAACAAAGAAACTATGGATCAGTCACATCATGGCCAATACCCAGTCTGTAATAAGAGTTGACCTGCATCTCTGTAGAAGTTGACTTGGGGCCAACAAAAATGTAACGACTAATGCAGCTTTACACCAAACAATGTCAGGATAAAATCACGAGAGTTTTGCTCACATCATCTCAATCATTTGGTGTAAGGTGATCATCCATTGTCTGTTTTTCTTCTTGATGTTTTGATCAAATCAAACATGTTTAATATTAGTGAAACTTTTTAGTCTCAGCTCGGGCAGATAGTGATGTTCAATGGCACTTTCCCCAGTAGCAAACAGGAAGCAGCAAACAGAGCTGATAGTGAGCATGGAGGAGACTCCAGGTGAGTTGTTTGGTGTGAGGCAGAGACAAGGGTACTTGGACTCAAGGAAATTTCAAAATAAAACAGGAAATCATAAACACAAAGTCCAAACACAGGTATTTTAGGAGCTGATCATGACAATTATAGTGTTAAGTTACCAAATGTATATAATAATAACAATAATAATGTTAAATTTCAAAGAGCAAAAAAGTCTGGAAAAAAAACTGCTTTTCTTCCTGTAAATTTCCACCAGGCGCATAATGGGAAAAAATCTCAAAGGAATCTAGTCATGCATCCCTGGATTAATCTGGATCCCCAGTCAATATAGAATCTTATAGTGTGTTACTAAAATCTCTGAGACTGATGACACATTGTCTTTAGATGTGAGCAGGGTGTCAGACTTAAAGACAGACAGTCTTATAAAGTCTTCTAGTGTCTAGTCGGCATAAATCTCAACCTCCTTGATGTAAACTATGGACAGAGAAAGGGAAATACTTGTGATACACCACCATTAGTAATTTCCACTTTATGTACTTTATAGTCACAACAGGCTTGACCCTGAACAATGCTTTATGCAGCTGCATCTGCCTAAAGTTGTATAACTACAGTAGTATATTCACACTTTTCACTATGTGTGAATCTAACATTGTTAAAAGTGTAAAACATAAAATGAGGTAACTGTCTGTCTGAATCTAATGCTCTCTGTTGCAGTTGCACAGACACAGATAGTGATTTTCACATTTACATTGCTGCTATTTATCCATTCTCATATACCTCTTATATGTGGCGATTATGCAACAATACTGTATATGTAACAGGCTTTTTATTGCACTAATATTATCTTTTTATACAGCTTTTTTATCGTTGTTTTAATGTGAACAGTTTGTCTTGCACTGGTTGGGTTTTTATGTATTTTTTTATGTTTTCATGTGTTTTGTGAATTTTTAATGTGTTTATAATGTGTTTTTACTTATACTACATGTATGATTTTAACAACGTTTGACATATATGCCAAGGTTTCATGCCCCCTTTAAGTTTCTTGAAGTGAATTTTATTTTGTAGTAAGTCTTTACGATTCCTTCCGCATTCGGTTGCTAAACAAAAACAGAACTCAACATTCAAAAATCTTATTAAACTGGACACGTATAAAGTCTACAGTCATATTCATTCTGTACCTTAGTAAATACCAAACATTTGTAATGTCGTTCAGTGAGGTCGTATTTCCACTTCTTGTGTTAAATGTGAAGTGACAGTGAAGCTCCGTCTGGTTGTTATTTTCCGCAGTGATGTTTGTCACCGTGACGAACCGTTTTTGTGTTTGGACGAGTTTTGCTCACTCTTCGTGGATTATCTGCAGCACATCGTGTTGATATATCGTGTCTGAGACTGTAGGCTACGTACCTCGGTGATGATCGGTTATGTTCAGTAGAGCTCGTACCGCAGTAAACAAAAACCTTTAACCCGCGAAAAAAGAATGAACGTCACTCAGATCCAAGTAACGGCACAGAGCTGCTCCTCTGTCATTTTCTGAATGGAATCAAATGTAAAGTATGTACAACAAAGTCTCTTCCTGTTGTGTTTTCCTCCTGACAGTCATGTGACGAGCTCATGTGATGTAGGCAGCCTCGTTGTGACCACAGAGCGCCCCCTCTGTTTTAATTTCCCCACAATATCAATGTACTGCAAATATTATTAATAAAGTTTTGACAAAAAAAGCAGCAAGTGTTGACACTTTCTCTGAGAGAACACAGTCATCCAGGTAAGCAGGTTAAACAAGAATTTATTCTTAAAATAATAAATAAATAAATAAATAAATAAATAGGGAATAAATGTTAATAACGTTAAAGTGGTAATATTCATCACAAATGGGAATCTTACAGTCCCATCATCATAAATATATAAATATAACAACCTTAGACTGTTCAGAAGTTCACTGTTGACTGTTTTTTCATTCTTTTCTCCGTTTACCGCATGTCTTCCTTCTATTGTAGTTGTTATATGTTGTCGTGGTGCTGTTCTCTCATCACGTTTGAAAACAGGAAAACAAAAACTGAGAGAAAAACATGAGTACAGTCAATGGCTGCAAAACAAAAACAGATAGATAGATAGATAGATAGATAGATAGATAGATAGATAGATAGATAGATAGATAGATAGATAGATAGATAGATAGATAGATACTTTATTTCTTCCCTAGGGGAAATTCATGTGTCAGTTTGCTCATTATTGATAATTAAAAAAAGTTATTAATAAATAAACAATAATAATTATGAGGTTTATGAATAATAATGAGAACTCAACAAAGACTTCATGATAACACTTCACAGTACTGTGCACTAATATTCATTAATACTTAAGTAATGCATAGATCATGAGTTAATGAATTACTCATTAAGAACTGAGCTGTGCATTATTGTTTAATATTGAAGAGTCTATCTGATTAATAGACTGAGTTATATATGAATTGCTATTAGTTAAGTTTGCCATCATGGCTTAATTTCCTATTAACATCTAACATTAATTAATACTGTAAATTCATGTCTTATTTACCACAGCGAAGGAAAGCCATTTATTTCACCTTGAAACTGTCTGCACCAAAGATGCACCAGTTCATCTGGTAAAGTGGCATCCTGGTTTAGTTGTTCATGGGATCATTCCTGGTTTAAGTTTGTGGTCTAGGACTTAGAGGCGGGACACTGAGGTGCTGCTGGTTCAGGAACAGTAACAGCTGTAAATGGTTCAGTTCAAACACACATCCTCTGACACTGTAGTCACTGTACAACTGTTCCACAGACTCTTTTCCAGAATTTGGAAAAGCTGTTGAATGAATATTACACTTCATTCACATAGTAATTACCAGCACACAACAGTATATAGAAATACCATTTCAAAACCCCACTAATATTTAATAATTTACAAAACAGACCTCAGATCAGAAAATGTTAAAATATATTGTTAAAAAAAGCAGGTGTCAAAGGGTTGCTATGGTAATAGTACAGAGGGAAAGTAGAGCTAGGCTGTTCTGTGTAGAGTTACCATAGCAACAGGTAAACAAGAAGCTCAGAGACAGAGAGAAAATGTCGGCTCAAAGGAAAGCAGCAGATGAGGAGAACAAGGAGGTTTTCTCAGAGGAGGAGGAGGAGGACTTAGAAGAGGCACTGAGGGAGGCTGCCTCCACCACGGCTGCCAGAACAAAGTCTGGACTGTCCAAACAACAAGTCATCCCCAAAATCCCAGAAGTGGTGGATGACTTCCTGAGGAACTTCCTCCGAAGATCTGGCCTGAGCCGGACCCTGAACAGCTTTGAGGCCGAGTGGTACAGCTCAGCACAGAAGCTCCTGACAGAAACCCTGATGCCAGAAACGCCAACAACAGGCATCTTCTTCATCCCTGATGCTCTCACACACAGGCAGCTCCTCCACAGCGAGCTGGAGAGGATCTGCAGAGAGACACACCTGCTCAGACAGGAGGTGCTGGCAGCAGGGGAGAGCATGGTGAGGATGCAGAGGGAGAGAGATTTCCACCGGCTGCAGTACCGACATGTTGCGAAGGACAAAAACAGGCTGATTGAGGACTTCAAACAGCTGAAGAAACACCTGGAGTCCTATGAGCCAGCGCTGAGACAGCTGGATGACAAATATCAAGCTGCTCTGAGGCAGAAAATGCTCATCAGTTTAGAAAAAGACAGAGTTCAAAACAGCTCAGAGGCAAGACTGAATCATGAAAAAACCCAAATCAAGAAAGAGAGAAGCATCACAAGGAGTGACAACACTGATAAAGCAAAAAGCCCCAAAACTAGACGTCCAAAGTCTTCACAGTTTCCCATCTGCAGCAGGCGAGTCAGCCCCAACCTGGATCACCCCAGATCCCTCAGCCTGTCCTGCTCCATCAGAGCTCACAAGCTTCCCATCAGCTGCATCAGTCTCCATCCACGAAAACTGATCCTTTCCTCCACCAGTGACGACCACAGCTGGAGGCTGTGGGTGCTGCCTGCTGACGGAGAGAAGGTAGGGGCATGTAGATATGAGAGGAGATGAAACAAGGTAACAGATGTGGTCAGATTATTATTATTATGAGATAAGAAAACACACAATTTTATGAGCTGAAAATGAAGACATTGTAGAGTGTATGTACATACTGAGATAGTTCACACATGCAGGCAAAATGAGACAGAAAAGACTAAATGAAGTAAAGAGACAACACAAGAAATTAAATAACAAAAGATCAGGACAGTGTTAGTTAAAGGACGTGGTTATAAAATGAGACAAAAGACAAATCAAACTAATCATATTTTGTTGACATTCAAGGGTCACTCTGATTGGCTAATGAACTTTAATGGGATGTGATGTGTTTTCAGGTTGGTCAGATGCTGCTCACAGGTGAGGGTCACTCTGATTGGCTGTCTGGCTGCAGTTTTCACCCTGATGGGTCAAAATTGGCAACAACCAGTGGAGACACAACAGTAAGTTAATCTTCATTATTACCACATAATTACAACATGTACAACCAGATGACATATCAATCAAGATGAAGTGTCTTCTCCTCTGGCTGTTCCCCTGGTGACTGGATGATTCCTCGTGCAGGTGCGGCTCTGGGACTTGTGTCAGGGCTGCTGTGTGTCGACACTGTCCAGTCACAGCCAGCCCACCTGGGGCTGCTCCTTCCACTCCTGCGATCACTTCATGGCTTCCTGCTCTGCTGACAGAACTGTCAAACTGTGGGACCTGAACAGCCAGTGCTGCTGCCTCACTCTGCGCCGCCACACCGCCTCCGTCAACAGCGTCTGCTTCCTGCCCTTCTCCAACCTCCTCCTCACCTGCTCAGCCGACAAAACCCTCGCCCTGTGGGACGCCAGGCTGAGCGTCTGCACCACCACCCTCAGTGGACACCTGCATCCCTGCAACCACGCTGCCTTCAGCCTGGCTGGTGACATCATGGCCTCCTGTGACTCCCACGGCATTGTCAACCTGTGGGACATTAGGAGGCCTGTGTCGGCAGTGGCCACTGTGGATGCTGGACCGCTGGGTGCCAACCACGTGGTGTTCAGCCCATCAGGGCAGACACTGGCGGTCGCGAGCAGTGACAGGCTGGTCAGACTTGTGGAGGTGGATTCTTGTGCAGTGAGCAGCCTGTCAGGACACAGTGATGGTGTGCAGAGCGTGACCTTTGACCACAGCGGTGATACTGTGATGTCAGCAGGGAGCGACGGGCTGATCAACGTGTGGTCAGAACATAAGGAGGCGGTTACTGAAACCAGCTGATGTTTTAGATGATGATCAGATTGTCCTGCTGTCACTTTTCAGCACCCAACTCAGCCTGTGATGATGTCATACTGATGTCATCAGGGTTCTCTTGAATTGGAGACTTAAATTACAAACTGAAGATGTGGAGTTTGACAGATAAACAGATTATGAGCATTCTTTCTTTAATCTGTCTCTCAAGTCTTCTTCCTTTATGAAAACTACACTTCAGTCACTGGAGATACACGAGCCTCTTCAGCCTCCCACTGATACAAGAATTTAACCACACTTCAATGTGGTTTGAAAAATCCAGACATGCATCTGTTTTTGTTTCAGACAAGAAACAAGTTGTGAAAACATAAAACGCACAAAACCACTTTTCAATTCCAATTCCCACCAATATCCAAGACAACATCAAATGAAATGCACTGACACCATGAAGGCAGACACCATGTTTTAATGTGAGCTGTTTGGGACGACCCTGTCACATGGAAATGAAGATTAAAAACCTCATCTGTTACAATATAAATAACTTTTCATGCTGTAACCACAGCATGTAAGAGAAAACACTGACGGCCTGTTAATAAAAATACTTTGTTTCCTATCCAAATCAAACTATAAGTAATTTCATAACAAAGGAACAAAATCTAATGTCTGCAGACAGTGTGAGGCTGTGATGATCTTTACACACCAGAAAATCAAATATTTGACATGTTAAAATTGTGTGGATGGAGCCAGAGGAAAGACAATGTTGTTAGTGTCTATGTTCCCTTCACATTATAAGTGATGGATGGTAGAGATGGCAAGATTCTCATATGCAGTGGACAACTCAAGACTGTAAAGAAAAAAAAATACTGTTCAGTTTCAAACAGCACTATATCCATTACATCTGTTTCACTGACCCTGAACAATATACTGTGGCTAACATGATGCATTTGGCACATTCACAAATGAGTTCGACATAGTCTCAGAGCTTCGGTCTCCACGTCCACAGTCAGAGGAGAAGATGGACATCATGTTCATCTCTGCATCCAGTACAGAGACAGGTCTACGATGTGCTTAGCTTAACTTAGGACAAAGCCTGGAAGCAGGGGAAACTCCTCCATACACACTGCAAAACATTCCACCTTCAAATAACTCTGAAGCATCTGACTTCCATGCTGCATCATGTTGTATTGTATTGATAAATGTGACTTAGCATGTAATAAATAAAATGAGAGTTTCTTTAATGGACAACCTTGGTAAGTTTTTAACCACCAAACAGACAACTGTATTTAAGCTTTCACAGTTTCCTTCACTCTAACACGTCACATGACTTCATCACACATTTCATATATTTCATAATAAGTGATTTGCTCTCTGTACTGTTGTTAAGATGCATGGCGTCTGTTCATCTAAAGCACAGATGCAGAGAAGACTTCATCCACATTCATTGGCAACTTCTTTGACTGTTTGAGGAAACAAGTGGAGCACAGTGAGACCACTGACTGATAGACGCTGACAGGAAGACTCTTGTCCTTCAGCTTCAGGATCGTTTCTGCTGAGTACAGATGGGTCCGTCAGCAGATGAAGACGAGTAGCGTCCTTCATCTTCATCCTTCTCCTCCTCCTGTCTGTGTTTCTCTCTGGGTTCTTCCACCAGGAGCTTCAGACAGCTCAGGTGATGCAGAGCTCTGAGGATGGAAACAATCATCAGAAATCTGTTTTCTGACATGTTGCTGTGAATTCATAGTGAACTGGTTCAGACCAGCAGGATGAGCTCCTCAGAAAACACACCTCACACATTTTCAATTAAATGAGGTCTTTTTAAATTCAAAAAATGTAGATAGATTCACTTCCCTTTAACAGCATGTGCACCATTTATTTTAAAATACTATATGTCAACAGTAACAGTGCAACAGCTCTAAAGTGCGAGCATGCGACCATTTTTCTCTATAAAAGTATGTGTAATGTAAAAGACAACTGTAAACAATACTGCAATACTACAGCAAGGTTTAAGTGTTTCCTTCTGAAAAACAGAAAATAATGGGAAATAAATAAATAATGAAAAATAAATTAATATTGAAGATGAAAAAATACAATAACATTGACATGCTTAAAGAACTGGTAAATTGAAGTTTTAAGTGAAATCAAGAAGGCCACAATCACTTATTTCTTTCTTTTTGGGTTGTAAACAAAGAAATTGAGGCTCAGATCCTCCTCTCTTCTGATTGGCTCACCAACCTGTTGTCACTAGAGCTGCAGAGAGAAGCCTGAGAGAGGAGATGTAAAACTACACTGAGATGGTTTTTGGTTCTTAAAACCACAAATATATCTTCTGATGGATCAACACTTCAAATAAAACAGAGGAAAATATGGAACTTTAACTTTGAAAATCAAATCATGGGAATTTGTTCTATCAATCACCACATCATTAGAAATTTTAAACTTTGTCATTAAACTGTTTCAGTCAGCTTAATGAGGTTTGTATGGTATTTGAAGGACTACCTTGAACAAACACAGGAAACCTGATTCAGTTTCTTTCAGATCTATGCAAGGGTATGAACAATTAGGAAAAAAAAGTTCCTTGAACCAAAGGTGTCCACTAAAATCTGAGCATTCTCACCTGTAACTAGACTCCACCAGGTCACCAAGTCCCTCCTCATTCTGATGTTAATCCTGACATGAGATACCACGTGTGTGTTCAGAGTGAGTTACCTGTGTAGTGATGGTCCACCAGAAAAACTCTCCAGCTCTGCTTCACCTTCAGTCCTCTGCAACACAAACACGATACATAACCCACGTGAGGCATGTTCCCCACAGCTCAATGTTGACAGCAGAGGTGTAAACGAACTCTGACCAATCAATGAAATAAACCATATTGAGTGTTTTTTAACTACCTGCTTCACTGGAGTCTCCTCTGTCTGCAGCCTGTCAGTGAGTGCTTGTTGCCCCTGAAGCTTCCCCTCCACTGCTTGCAATTTGAACAGCATCTGTTTTAGAGCCTCCACTGGACCAGGCTGCTTCCAGATGCTGTTTCCATGGGGACCACAGTCCAAAGTCTGGGAGAGACAGAAGACAGATGCTGTGATCATAAATCTGTTGGTGGATCATTTAGGAACCACACAGGAAACGCAACACAGGTCTCCATTCACTGATCCACCGATCCACCATCATGCATAAGAGAGAAAGGGACTGACAGCATGTTTCCAGTGGGAGGTGAGGAGTGAAACAAGACAAAAACCCTACCTGAGCTCCTCTGTGAGTCAGAGCCAGTGTGCCGCTCCCTGCTGCTGCTGCTGCTGCTGCTGCTGCTGCTGCTGAGTCCCTGCAGGTTCAACATAACAAATCTGATAAGTGTGTTCAGTCTCAGTGCATCAGAACTAACAGAGGGAGTATGAATGACTCTTACAGAGTGAACGAAGGACAGTGTGAGGGCGACCTGAGCAGCAGCTCCTCAGTGTTCACTGAACTCACTGCAGAACAACAGAAACACAACCAGTTATTCATGAGCTACAAACATAGAAAAGGAAAAGCATGTTTTTGTGTGTGAAAAACATGAAGACATGAAGTATTGTGGGATCATGGGAGTTGTTATCCTAAACACCATTGTCCATTGGCTGCCTTAGCAACCAGTGTTAACTATTTAGCTATTTGTGAGTTTTGCTATTGCTGCATAACTAACATTAGCATTAACAGCTGTTTACTTACCAGTCCAAAAGAATTTTAGGAAGGAAGTTTAGCATCAAACGCCATTCCTTTAGTCACCAAGAATAAAACAAGAGAGTGGGGGAAAAGAACTCTCTTGTTGTGCTTCTATTTCTATCACTTCTTTTCTTCATCTTGTAAGAGCAACAGTGGCTGGAACGCTGGCTATGCAGCAAAACTTACAAATAGTGTACGTTTTGTTTCTTCTTGTTAGAACTGCTTTTCATTACAGCTGTTCCTAATGCACAATGAACTAAGTAACAATGTGCAGCTTTTCTGAAACGTAACTTTTGTCAAAAACTTTTAATGCTGGAAAGAGACACATCAAGGAAATTGTAAATTGAAACCAACCCCAGATGTTATTATGATTGTGTTATTTATGAACAGAATATAGTAAAACTGAACCGTCACACTGATATGGATAACAAAGCTGTTTATGAATTTGTATGGTACCTGACCTGTGTTAATGCTAATGTGATGCTAGCTGGTCTCACCTGAACCTGCAGGATAGTCTACTCCATCACAGCTCCGAGACAGAGAGTTCAACACCTGATCTGCTTTCTGGATCAGAGATTGGATCTTGTTGCCTGACAGAACACGCACGCACGCACACACACACACACGCACGCACGCACACAATCAGGGATCTATAGTAATAACACAAAGCAATACACTTTTCTTCAGCCTCTATGATTCAGTAGTGGGCAATTTAGTCTATGCTGGAGGAAAGTGGCTCTTTAATAACTAAATGTTTGTTTTGAGATAGATTACAGAATTATAGAAAACACATAGCAAATGAGACAGAGAACACTATCATCTGGAAACTAAATGATTTGACATTTTCTCTGGAACAGTATATTGCGATTTGTCATGTCGCTGATGCCGTCTAGTCTAATGAGCCCACCTGAGCAGGGCACCACATAGTGACGGACGCTAACATCAACAGAATCTTTCCATCTAATGTGTTCTTACCTCTTAACAGAGTTTCCTTGATGTCAGAGCTTTTTCTCTCTGTAGCAAGCAGCGAAATCTGTTCAGCAAACTGAAGCCTCAGATCTCGGAGAGTCTGCTGGCTGTCAACCTGATCACACAGAACACACACAAACACAAATTATCATTCAAACAATTTGGCTTGAAAGTTCATTCTTGACTTTGGGACCACTTATGGGCAAAAAGTTTGGGCATCCCTTGACAAATTTCATATTTTGTTGATTCTTCAAGTGATAGAAGTAAGGAGAACTCCTGCAGCAAACAAAAAATGAGCTGGGACCATGGGAGTTGATTCTTCAGATGTTACTGCACTGTTGGAAATCTGAATTTCAAAAATGTCAGGGGACTGTGAAGTGAAAGCGAAAACGGGCTAGCTTCTACAGCAAGACAATGATCCAAAGCAAATTTCCAAATCCACCATGAACAACTTCAAGAAATACAAGCTTAAGCTTTTGGAACGGCCATCACAGTCGCCTGACATCAGTGAGAATCTGTGGGTAGATCTTTAACATGTTGTGTATGAGACAGCCTAAAAATATCTCACAGCTTGAAGTGATCTGCAGGAAGAATGGATGAAAATCTCTGAATACGGAACAGAAAGACTTCAAAAACTGTTTGCAAGCTCTTATGCCCACTCTAAGTACTTTTCTTTCTATTTTTTTATTTTTAGAGTTCATGAAATAACAGATTTCAAACTGTTTAATGTCTATTTTAATGTCAGTTTGCTGCAGGGTTTGTATTTACTTCTTTATGTTAAAAATCAGCTTAATATGTATTTTGCCCTGAGGTGCAGAAAAACTTTAGCAAACAACTAAATGTGACAAAATCATCTCTATGTAAAGGTCCACTGCCAAGAACTTAACTGCATCTCATGGTCGCCTTCAGTGCCTGGAGTCAGGGGTTACCAGCTGTTATCATGTGAAAAGAGTTCCATGATGATAACTAAGCTATCTCCATGCATTAATGAAGAATGTCAGATGCAGTTGAAAGCTTTCTAACAGCTAGTAAGTGGACCTTTAGAATAGATTATTTTGTTACACATCATTGAAATAATTCTCCCACCTGTTGTCTATCAAGAGACACTGACAGATCATTCTGCTTCAGGTCCTTGTTCTATGATTCATCTCAGTCACTGATTTTTTTTTTTTTTTTTTGAGGTCAAGTACAATTTCAGTCAGATGACATCAGCTGCTGGCTGATTACTTTAAAAGTTCTCTCACCTGTGAACACGTCTGGTCGGGATCATTATCCTCCAGCTCTGCTAACCAGGATGGAGCTCCGGTTCTGGGAGCTGCAGGTGGAAGAACACCTGGAAGAACAACATTCAACCTCACCAACAAACGTACAGATTGTTTGATGCTGAAATTGTAAAATTTTCATTGTGCTTTGTTAAGAAAACAAACTTTTCTACAGGGAGTGTAATGATGATTCATATCCATCTTATACTTGCAACGGACTGTTCACTCACAGCCTATTGCTCAGAGTTGTAGTTGTACTCCTGTCAAGCTTTTCAATTCTCCAACAGCACATGCTACTGTACACAGCAAATGCTATGGATTTAGTGTCTGAAGCGACAGCTGTCACTGGCAGGTTTCATGAAACTGGGATTTTTTCAGATGCAGCTAGTTTATGTAATATCATCTCTGTGAATTGGCTGCAAACACCATCTCTGGCTGCCTTAATTTTTTCAGTTGACTTATTTAGAAACAAGAATCTTGTGAAAGGGGTCTTAAATATAGTATTGCTTTTGTTTTACAGTGTAGACCTAGTTAGTGCTAAGTTAGTTAGTTAAAGGAAAAATGGAAAATCAGACTGCTTCTTAGCTTACATGCTTGTTTCTTGTTTCTACCAAGTGTGTTTGACAAGCTCGACACTGCCTCAGGTAATGTCGGTGTGTAAATGTCTCCAAATCCAATAAAAAGCAGGACCGAGTCACTTATGTCTAAATACTACCAGAGCTGCCTCTGCTCTGTTGACCAAATGTTAGTTCACCCAGCTGCAGAAGAAACTGCTTAATTTCTTAACACAAGCAGGACTCCGCATACAACTCCTGCTTCACGGCAACTCTTCGGGGACACACTACCTCCAATATGGAAATCCAAAGTGTGGGATCATTCCGAGAGGCTAAAAGGTGACCCTGAGAAGGCGACGTGCACACTCTGCGAGTGACTTGCAAATTCGATGACCTCAAACATTGCTCATTATTTGAAACACGTAAGTAGCCTAACGTTAGGCACTTAACATTAGCATGGCAGCTTGCTCTAACAGTCTCCTTGTTGGTTGTTCCAACACATTTAGAGTCATTACAGCTTTTGCTGCTGCCATTAACAGGCAACATTTCTCTGTAATGCAGCTCAGTGTTAACAATCTTACTTATAACATTCTTTCTTGGCCCTGGACTCAAACCATTACCTGATGAATATATATTCAAATAATCAAATTAATATCATAAACGTGCAACAAATTGTGACTAATGACTTGAACTAATGACCATTAGTCAACCCAGAAAATCTTTGGTCAGGGGCAGCACTAATATAATAGACTTGACCTTTTTTTTTATATGATCATTAACCCCACAAACTAGTGTGGTTAGATGCTACAGTTGTTAGTTAGCGAATTAGCTGGACATGCTGATGATTGCAACTTAGTTACAGCAGTAATATAAACAACAGTTTACAATTTTTGGTTTTGGAAAGAATGAAAAAACAAACACCATACTCAAAACCCCCAGAAGAGTATTTCTATTCATATAACAAGATCCAAAGGTTGACAAGCTTGGCATGCCCAGTTACAGTTGCTAAACTATGATTGGACAATGGTGGCCAAGTGGAGGGATTTTCGTGAAAAGCCAATTGAAGAAGTCACCTACCTCATTTACATGCTGTCAGAGGTGGACAAACTACACAACTCAATTACTGGAGTCAGAGTATAGGTCCTCCTGGTCAAATATTAAACCAATACATGTGAAGGTTGTTCAGTCACACTTTAACTTGTGCTAAAGTACTGGAGTATTAGTAATTAAGTATTCAAAAGTACATAAAAAACATAATTGAATCAACAAAAGGAACTGTTGTGTATTTGGATGTGTTTTGATTATTTACAGCATACGTGTTGTCAAATTCATGAAGATGTTTTCTGAATTTCTTTGTGTTTTATCTATTTGCACCTGTTTTCTTAAGTTGCAGTGTGTTGAGCTCTCAGGGCCACCGTAGAAATCACTGGAGTCACTGTGTAATGAACACAGTGTATGGTCTATCACATTTTAGATAATAAAAGAAAATTAATTCCACTCACATAAAACTCAAAGTAAGAGTACTTCATAGAAATGTAGTGGAGTCAAAAGTACAATATTTGTCTTTAAGTGTAATAAGGTAAAACTCACAAGTTTGCAAAAGAAATAACACTCAAGTAAAGTACAGATTCTCAAAAAATGTACTTAATTACAGTATTCCAGTAAATTACTTAATTATTATCCACCGCTGCATGCTGCTGATTCATTAGTCTGTATTTACATATGATGTTAGTGGTTTACGATGGTTTAATAAGATAGATGCTCTCAGTAATATGGAGTAGCATGCAGTATGAGTCATGGAGGGAACTGGCCCGTGAACCCTGGCAGTGCTGGTGCCTTGCAGCAAGTGTGTTACCGTGGTCGTCACACAGCTTCAACTCTGCGAGCGACGGCCCCTTGCTGTGGTCACAGCCTTGGATCCAGGCTTCCACACTGGATGCATACTTCAGGTCAGGCATGCTGCTCATTCCAGAGCACTCCATGTCAGCCTTGTTGCTGGTGAACTGGTATGGGCGGTGGAGCAATGAGGACGGCTCTGCCCTCTCTGACCCTGCTGCTCTGTGTGCAGACTGTCAGATGGAGACAGAGAGAGGGAGCAATGAGGCTCGCTTACAAAACACAGAATGCACAAGAAAACAAAGTGTGAATGATAGTCACCTTCAAACTGCTCACAGAGAATATGTCATCAAGTGTTTTAAACGTGGCTGCTCCTGGTCTTCCTCTGCATTATGTGAGGAGGAGAAATTAATGAAATGACAGACTTTTTACAGAACAGAACAGATATTTCATGACACAAATTATACAGATTATTTCCAACAGTGTGAACCTGTACCTCCTGGGTGTCCTGGTTAGGTGAGGGTGTTGGTAGCTCAGGCGGGGGTTGGCGTGGCTGCTGCTGAGCCCAGCACAGGCTCTATGTTGTGGACTTGAGGAGGAGCAGTGGGGCTGGGAGGACCCAGACTGAGACAGGACGCCTGGACCAGCAGACAGAGGAATTGAGAGACACAAACTTAATCAAAGAATGCAACTAATCAATACTGTTAATATTGCTTCACCTACCAATTATTTATTCTATCAATCCATGCATCAAACGATGATGAACTGGAGACACTTGTGAAGAACCAGCGAGCATACCGTGAGTGTGTCTCATGTGTTTCACGGAGACCTGGTTAAACGACAACACTCCCAACCATTGTGTGGATTTACTCAGCTTCACTGCAGTATGAGCAGAAAGAGATGCCAGAGCAAGTGGGAAGAATAAAGATGGAGGACTGGTTCTGCTTGTGAACAATAGATGGTGCAACCCCAGTCATACCACAGTGAAGGAGAAGATCTGCTGTTGGGATATTGAACTGTTGGCAGTTGGTCTTAGACCGTACTATGTACCGAGGGAGTTCTCACACATCGTCGCCATTGATGTTTACATTCAACCACGAGCAGAGCCTGCAGTCACGTGTGGCATCATTCACGAGACTGTTGCAAGAGTACAGACCCAGCACCCTGATGCATTCATTGCAATATCGGGGGATTTTAACCATGTCACTCTTACTGCTTCAGCTCTACCACCACTTGGCAGATCAGATCATAATCTGGTTTTTTTTCAACCTTCCTACAAGCCCTGTGTACTGAGGCCAGCTGCAACCACCCGCTCATCACCAGTGACATCAAGACCCTCCTCAACCAGGAAAAAGAGGCCTTCAGGGATGGAGACGGGGAGAAGCTCAGGTGTGTGCAACATGAGCTGAAGAGGAGATTAAAGCAGGCGAAGGAGGACTACAAAAAGAAAGTAGAGAGGAAGCTGCAGCACAACAACACCAGAGAGGTGTGGAAGGGGATGAGGACCATCACTGGCTATAAAGAGGAAAACAGTCAGGCAACATCAGGTGATGTGGACAAGGCCAATGAGTTCAACCTGCTCTACAACAGGTTTGACACAGCCTCTACTCCACAACCTGACACTGCAGCCGCAACTCCCTCCACACTGGGGTCAAGTCTCCTGTCCTTTACAGCGGTGGAGGTGAGGGCGGAGCTCAAGAGGCTACGTCCTGGAAAGGCAACAGGCCTGGATGGTGTGTGTCCGAGGCTGTTAAAGGACTGTGCAGCCCAGCTGGCTGAGCCTCTCCAGAGGATCTTTAACTTAAGCCTTCAAACAGGGAGGGTCCCGGTCCTGTGGAAAACATCATGTCTTGTTCCGGTCCCTAAAGTAGGGTGACCGGCTGAGATAAATGACTACAGACCGGTGGCCATCACATCACACATGATGAAGACCTTCTGAGGCCACAGGTTGAACATGCACTAGTCCCCCTACAGTTCACCTACAAAGAACATATTGGAGTGGATGATGCCGTCCTTTACATGCTCCACCGGTCCATTCTTACTTGGATGAGCCAGGTAGTTACATGAGGATTATGTTCTTTGATTTCTCAAGTGCATTTAACACCATCCAACCCCCCATCCTTAAAGACAAGCTGGAAGGGATGGGGGTGGATCCCTGCTTCACGTCCTGGATTGTGGATTACCTGACAAGACGACCACAGCACGTCAGGCTGGGTAACTGTGTCTCAGGGACAGTGATGAGCAGCACTGGGGCTCCACAGGGAACTGTTCTGGCTCAGTTCCTGTTCACCCTGTATACGACCGACTTTAAATACAACTCTGAGTCCTGCCACATCCAGAAGTACTCGGATGACACAGCTATTGTGGCGCGTATCAGAAACAGGCAGGAAGAGGAGTAAGATCTGATGATGGCCTTCAGTGAATGGAGCGACAAGAACTGCCTCCTTCTGAACACCTCCAAGACCAAGGAGATGGTCTCGGACTTTCGGCCCACCCTTCAGCCAGTCAGCATTAGAGGGAAGGACATTGAGGTGGTTCACACTTACAAATACCTAGGTGTGCATCTGGACAGTAAACTGGACTGGTCCCTGAACACGGATGCCATCTACCTGAAGGGGCAGAGCTGGTTCTTTTTCCTCAGGAGGTTCAGGTCCTTTGACGTCTGCAGTGAAATGCTGCAAATGTTTTATCAGTCAGTGGTGGCCAGTGTACTCTTTTATGCTGCAGTCTGCTGGAGCAGCAGCATGTCAGACATGAACACAAGGAGACTGGATAAGCTGGTAAAAAAGTCTGGGTCTGTGCTTGGCAGGAGTCTGGACTCACTCAGGACTGTTGTGGAGAGACGCATGCAATGTAAGATGGAGGCCATCTTGGACAATACCAACCATCCTCTCCAAAACATTCTGGCAGCAAACATCTCATCTCACTGCGCTGTAGAACAGAGAGGTTCAGGAGATCCTTTGTTCCAACTGCAATCAGGCTATACAACACCTCAGCCAAAGGATGTGGACTAATCTAATTATTATTGTTCATTTGTTATTCACTGTTTTTATTATTATTATTATCAACAATGAGCTAATGGACACATGAATTTCCCCTAAGGGACAAATAAAGTATGTATGTATGTATGTATCTATCTATCATTTAGTCCAAATGTCTGAAATACAGGCACACATCCATCACAGCTTCGTGTTTAAAGCCCTCAGTCAGAAAACCGTTATGGGTGATGCTTTTAAAGTCAATGGTTGCATTTAAAGACCTCAATAGAGGTGTAGGTATGGGTGATTTGTGGTGAAGGCAGAGGGGGAGGTGATGCATTTAAAAAAGGTGATAGTTTGGCAGATGTATTTTAATAACTTTGGCTGAAGGCACAAGTGTTGGTAATGTGTTCAAAATCTTTAAATGAAGGTGGAGGTGTGGGTGATGCATTCAAAGACCTGGGATGAGGTATGGGTGGTGCACTTAAAGGCCAAGGATGAAGGCCGAGATTGATAGATCTCTACTTCATTCATCGCCTAGAGGAAATTCAATTGTCCAGCAACTCAATAGTAATAATAGTAATAGTTAATAATAATCAATAATTGTTCAATAATCCAGTTCATGAGCCACTTCCTTTCGAATGCTGACTGGCTGAAGGGTGGGCCTAGACCTCCGAACGTCCGTGACATTCTCCTTGGTCTTGGAGGTGTTCAGAAGGAGGCAGTTCTTGTCGCTCCATTCACTGAAGGCCATCATCAGATCCCTGTACTCCTCTTCCTGCCCGTTCCTGATACGCACCACAATAGCTGTGTCGTCCGAGTATTTCAGGATGTGGCAGAGTTGTATTTAAAGTCGGCCGTATACAGGGTGAACAGGAATGGAGTAAATAGGAACAGGAGAGGTATGCGTGTAGGGTTGGGGACTCGGTTCCAAATTAGACCCAGTTTCAAAATGCCAAGAACTAAGAAAATTGAATTTCAATTTTACAGTTAAACAGTCAAAAGTGTGAAGTGTGGCTTCACTTTAGAAAAGAAAACAATGACAAGAACATCAGTCCAGGATCAATTCACTTTAGGTTCAATAAGTGCAGTTTGCAATTCACTTTCAGTGAGTGGATTTACTCATGAATAGAATTAAATTGTGATTCTTGGCCGCCATTGTTTTCTTCCTTTAATATTTTATGTAAAATGTTTTGATTCAAAAGTCTCATTTACATTTGCTTGTTTTAAATGTTAAATTTACCTGTGGACTATGTGTTGATAATAGGGACAGTGTTTGGCGTCCTTGACAAGTTACAAATAGCACAAACAAAGATGCCTGCGTTTGTCACCAGAACATAAAAACAAAACAACCAGCAGTTGGTTGTATTAACTGCTCTAGACTCATCTTTATCTAGTAAATATCTTTAATGCATTTATCTGTGGATAATATGTTTTTATTGTAGTAAATATTAGAGCCCAACCAATGGATTTTTGGGGCCAATGCCGATACTGATATTAGGGAGTAAAAAAATTCTGATATCGATATGATATCTGATATATATATACAGTATACAGTGAGGTAAGGTATGAGTGATGTGGTTGAAGATTTTGGATAAAGATGCACATGTGGGTGATGTGTTCAAAAACTTTGAATGAAGGCAGAGGTGTAGATGATGCATTTACAGACCTTGGATGAAGGCAGAGGTGTGGGTAACAGGCATAGAGCCGTCATAAGGGATAGACAGCAGCTCGTCCGTCGTCATGGAGAGTCTGTCTCGGTTGCTAGCATGATGGAGGGAGCTGACTGGGAGGTCCAGGAAGTCCAGCTCCCTTTCAGTCAAACTCTCCATGAGAACTATCAGTAGAAACAAAATAAACATAAGTACGGTTAAAAAAACTAACTGATGCAGAAAGATACTAAAAACATATATATATATTATAAAATATAATATATAATATATAGATTGATTGATTGATGATATGATTTAATATGTATTATATGAATCATGATTGTAATACACACAGGGGTGTGGCTAAAGGTTTTATTATAAAAGGAATTTTGAAAAAATCCAAAAAAACAAATCAGAATGAACATAATTTGGACCTGACGGAGAGGGACACTTAAGATCTCAGTGTTGCTCTTCAATGAGAGTCTCCATGATGACCTACCATCTCTGTTTCTGAGTGTGCTCACTCTGGGTCTGCTCAGCCTGGAGATGGGACCATGTGGCAGAACCAGTCTTCCTGTCAATGACAAGCTGTTCGGACAACTTCTCTCGAAATCTGCGATGTAGGCATCTAACGCTGCTGAGGCTGAGTCATAGTCCTGCAAAATCAATCACTCACTTAATCAATGAATGAACATTAGGCATTTGTTTTTGTAAGGTCCAGCACCACCAAAATCTTTTTTTTTTTTTTTTTTTTTACCAGCAGTTTTTCTAGAACTACGGTAATACAAAGAAAGCAAAACATGATGTCATCACTTTTAACATGAAACACTGAAATCATGAAGAAACTAGAGGGGCACTCCGCTAAGGCCTACGTCAAACAACTGCACTTATATAGCACTTATCAACCACTCAAAGTGCTTTACAATGGAAGCCACATTCACCCATTCACAGTCATACAGCACATTCCCCTATACATACAGCACTTTCATACAAACAGTAGAAACAGAGTGAACCTTGTCTCTGTATCTGAAAGAGGTGATGTGATCAGGCGGCCGCAGGCTGCTCCTCAGATGACCTGAGCTCGACAGCAGGGAGGTCACCGTGGACTCTGGAGACAGACAGTCACCAACCAGGCCGCTGCACTCCATGCTGACAAACATAACAACAGCAAGTACACTCTGAAGTTACACATCTAATAGGGTGGTCTGCTGCTGGAGAGGAGTTTAACATGTTCACTGTGGAACTGTCTCTAAATTACATTCTAACTTCAATAGAAGGCTGTGCAAGCAGCATAAATACACTGCTCAAAAAAATTAAGGGAACACTTAATCATCGAAGTATAACACAGTATAAGTCAGTTAAACTTCAGGGATATCAATCTGTCCATTTAGGAGATGTGGCCACAGACACTCTCTCCTAATCGTTCCTGACTGATTCTTCTCTAGTTTTGTGTTTTGCTAGTGTCTTTGTCACTACTGGTAGCATGAGGCGGTACCTGCAGCCCAATCAGGTTGCACATGTAGTCCAGCTCCTCCAGGATGGCACATCCATACGTGTAGTCGCAAGAAGGTTTGCTGCGTCTCCCAGCACAGTCTCAAAAGAAGATACAAGGAGACCAGCTGTACAAGAGGAGAGCTGGACAGGGCCGTAGAAGGGCATCAACCCAGCATTACCTGCTCCTTTGTGTGAGAAGGAACAGGAGGATCACTGCCAGAGCCCTACACATGGCCTCCAGCAGGCTCCTGGTGTGCATGTTTCTGACCAAACTGTCAGAAACGGACTCCATGAGGGTGGCATGAGGTCCCGAAGTCCTCTAGTGGGAACTGTGCTCACAGCCCAGCACTGTGCAGCTCCAATGGCATTCACCAGAATACACCAGAATTTGCAGGTCCGCCTTTGGCGCTCCGTCCTCTTCACAAATGAAAGCAGGTTCAGACTGAGCACATGTGACAGGCGTGAAAGAGTCTGGAGACGCTGTGGTGAATGTTATGCTGCCTGTAACATCATCCATCATCCATTGATGCCATTGACTGGCCCTCACGTTCCCCTGAGCTAAATCCAATTGAGCACCTATAGGACATTATGTATCAGTGCATCTCACGCCACCAAGTACTGCCACAGACTGTCCAGGAGCTCAGTGATGCCCTGATCCAGGTCTGGGAGGCTGGGAGGAGATCCCCCTGGACACCATCCACTGACTCATCAGGAGCATGCCCACACGTTGTCGGGAGCGCATACAGGCACGCGGGGGCCATACACACTACTGAGTCACATTATGAGTTGCTGTAATGAAATTCACACAAGTTGGATCAGCCTGTGATTTCAATTTTCGGTGTGATTGTGAATCCAGCCCTCAATGGGCTATTGGTTTTGGTTTCCATTGACCAGTGTTGTCATTTTGTTCTCAACAAATTATACCATGTACATCAGTAAATATTTTCTTGATTCTTTACTTGAATAATTCGTTCATCAAGATCCCATGTGTGATTTAAGTGTTCTCCTAATTTTTTGAGGAGTGTATAACTAACACAAGCAAAGTGGTGAAGATCTTTTTCCTCATTTGCTTGTGTGTCACAATTGTGACCTATCAATTAATCTGTGACAGGGGGTCTCCAACATGTGGCTCATGAGCTAGGGTTAGGTTTGTTAACATCAGATATGCTCTAGTCCACATGCAATGATACCAGCTCTACATATAACATAACAGATATAAACTAAACTTCTCCAACTAACAGGAAATGTGTTGCCATGGACACAGTGAGTTAAACTGTGGCTTCAACTTGAGCCCTGTTTTTTAGCCAATGTTTATTTACATTTTGAAAAATGAAGTGACGTGAATGATCTATTTTAAGTTCCTGTCTGTTATTTATGCTTGATGTTCTGACAACTATCACTGATCACTGACTGAGGAGCTTCTTCTTTCTCTGGTGTCTAATCAAATTCATGGAGGTTTATTTGCAGTGGTGTTTTCCTGTCTGTGTGTTCAGGTTTGACTAAATCATGACAGATTTTTGTCTGATGTGAGCTTCAGATGTTTTTGGATGTTGATATTTGATAACTTGTTAAATTATCTTCTTCGTCTGATATGGTTTGGAGATCAGTTTATGTGTTTTGATACGATATCTGAATAAATGTAACCAGTAATATCAGACATGAGGAGCTCTCAGCTACTTTGATTTGGTTAAAGAATCTCTCAGATTAAAAAGGTTAGAAACAGCTTTTCTAGGGGGTCACAACTTTAAAATGACAGCTATCACATGTGTTCCTACAAGTGACATTCCGATCAGGTCAGTGAGTCTGATAGAGCACAGAGTTCAATATAGCCAGGCAGCTACCAGTGAAGAGCATTTGTCAGATTTCCCCATCAGTGATTTGGATGATAGTGTTGTCTATCTAACCACCCCAAATTACATGTCCGTATGTTTTCAAGTGAATTTTGTCTGTTTGTTTTGTCTTCTAAGAAAGCCCTGACAGTATCGAGATAAAGTTATTTTAAAGTTACAAAGCTGACTGACGTTAGTTTACTAATTCGGCTTTAGCCTTGCCAACAGGTAGCTACCCTGACCTGCCGTAGCTAACTTAACAACCAAAACACAAAGCAAACAATACTGAAACAGGCCCAACAGACACAGTAATTAGTGCGTATTTAACGTTACGGTAGTTAGGTGCATATACAATGTTTAAAAGACCTTTAACAATGTGCTGGCACATATTCACAAAATCTTAAGTTAGTTAAACTCACCTCTGATGTTCAAATTCAACTTAGCAGCTCCACTAGGCTAAAAATAGGACTCCGTATCCAAATGCTCCAAGTCACACTTGTGAAACTGTGTCGAATAAAAATAACACGCCAACATTTTTACTTCAAATGTCTCCTTGTGTGTTTCGTGTCCAGCTCCCTCTGTGCTGTTGTCTATGGTTCAAAACAGACAATTCAAAGCTCCCGGGTAAAGCTAGCTCAAAGTTAGCTGCTCTAGCATCAGTTCTGCTAAAGACGTTACGACCAAACACCATTCGAACATCTGACAAGAAAGTCTGTTCATGGTTATCAAAGGAGATACACCATGATATACACACGGCTGTTACAAAAAGCCTGAACGCAGTTTACTGACTTTTAGGATGTTCAGGAACATGGACTCAACTCAACCGACCAACAGACTGTCGCCATGAACTAGCGCCCTCCACGGCCTGGTGTGGTAACTGTATGGGGCTGGAGCTGGTTATATGAGGGGATATCAAAAATAAAGTTGAAATTGCATTCAAATGCATTATATTTGGCGCATGTGACCCATGCCGAATGAAAGAAAGTAGGACTTTCTACTGGGTCAAAGTAAAAATCGTTAGTCAGATTATTTTATCAATTTGCATTTGTTGCAAAGCAGAAGCAGAGCAGAGCAAGCGGCAGCAACAGGACGCCAGCTGCAGGGGGCAGAGCCTGTGCCATTTTCCTCCAGTCAACTTTATTAACATCACAGTAATGGTACATAGTACTATAGGAGAAAAATAAAAATAAAAATCAGAAATAAAATTGTACAATAAAACACATCTTCTTGACATGTAAACGGTCGAAAGTGTGTGAACCGTTTGGAATAACCTGGTTTTCTGCATTAATTGGTCATAAAATCAGATAATTTATCCAATCTAATAATAAGTCACAATGTAGACAAACACAGTGCCACTAAGCTGATATGACACCAGCAATTATAATATTTTGAGTTTTTATTGAACACACCCATTAAACAATCACAGTGCTGGTGAGAAACCTATATGAACCCTTGGATTTACTAACTGGCTGAAGCTCCTCTGAAACCAGCTCTTCACTAGCTGCTGATCAGAGCTGCTCAATGTAAAAGAGGAAGTTTGAACCATTCTTCCTATAGAGCTGCTTCAGTCAGACAGATTCTCAGGATGTCTGGTGTGAGCGGCTCTCTGAGCTCAGTCCACAGCATCTCTACTGGGTTCGGGTCTGGGCTCTGACTGGACCACTCCAGAAGGTGGATTTCCTTTGATGTTATTGTCTTGCTGCATCAGCAGCTTCTCCTGAGCTTCAGCTGTAAACACCCACTCTGACATTATCCTGTAAGAGACCTTGATAATTCATTCTCCCCCCAGTGATGGTGAACTGTCCAGCTGCTGGACAGCCACATAGCAGAAACACTTCCTTACAGTGCTAAAACATAATTTCCTGTGGGTGCCCATCATGGTGTCCCTCATTGTCCACCACCTTGTCCAGCAAGCAGCTCTCTCTTGTTAGACTTGATTCCAAATTAATATAATCTTATCAGATCAATCTTCAGCTTGTACTCAGTCTTCAGTTGTTTTGATATTCTTGTGTATGACAGAATAGACTATTAAAATCCAATATAGCCCATCTCTCTATTCATGTTGAACCTACATAAACAGGCAAAGGAAATAAATACAACAGTCACTTCATTATTGATCATGGCTTCACATCTGCACAGATGTTATTTTAAGAATCTTCACATATCACCAAATTTTTTTCTGTTAACACTTCAACAATTAAATCACTAATATTCCTATTGTAGACTACTGTTATCATAGATTGTCTGCAGTCTGAGCTCAATGTAATACAAGCTGAATGTATTCAGCTCTTCAACACGTATTCCGTTCAGAGAATGAACGCACCTTTTGCAAAATCCGACTAATGACATATAAATCTCTCTAAACAAAAAATGAAAAAATTCTATAACATGTCTATTGTTGAGGCAGCTGTTAGATCAGGTGAGAGCCAGTTGTTTCCCATCATGCCCTTAGGTCTTGGAGTCAGTGGAGAGCAAGTGTGCCGTCTGGCTCCTAAAACTACAGTAAACACTTAATCTTGTGAGGTTATCATTCATGTTTTCATGACGTCAGAGCGAGTTGGGATCAAGCACAGATGTATTATGGGATTAAGAAGAAGACAACAATCAAACTGGCTGCAGTGTGGGATGACCACCAGTTATCAATTCTGAGCAGGCCTGACTCATCTTGAACAAGCCTAATAACAGACAGTCTGGGACAGCTGGGACACATCTTTAGTTCCAGCGTTATTTCACAGAAACCATGTGAAAACTTTAGGGCAGACATGGTGGGACAACCAAATGTTTTTCCAGGCTTCATGACTACTGCAGGCCCCTTTAACCCAGAGCCTGTGATGTCACTCAAACAGAGAGGTGTGAAGGAAAAAAAGAAGGAGTGATCACTCCCTTATTTTTTACTCCAAGTCCAGGCTACAGATACTATGGGCTCAAATTAGGGTCAAAAAGATTTTGACTTGGAAATTGATGTTCACAAATAATTCCAAAGTTTGTCGTCACAAATCAGCCTTTGTAGAAATGTAAAATAAACCTACATGAGAAATTCAAGTTTGTACATTTGTAGAAAAGATTTGTATTTGTAAAAAAAAAAACTGTGGCTGTGTAGAGATAGGGAGTTTCTCCCATACAAAATTAAAAATTACACAGTTTATTTTGATTTCATCAAACACAGACAAGGTGAGGCACAATTTAAAGTTTTGCACTCACCAGGCTGTAGTTCTGTTAATATCCTGCAGACAACACCAATTTGTTACTGACCATCCAAGGTCTTCTGTTATCAGCTTTGTCTCCAGCCCTGTCACTGAAGAGATACCAAGCTCGGTAAGACTTAGGGGCAGGCTTGCCTAAGGGCCTCACGTAAACTCTGTACCCTCTATACTAGTCATCCATGCATTCATCTCTGGAAAATTTTAAAAGTAAGATGAAAATATTATCTTAAATTAAAAAAATAAATAAAAATGTAAAAATGTAAATTATTTGTTTATTTATTAATCTATAGAACATTTTGGCTTAGTTCAAATTATTTTATTATTTGAATTGTTATATTTTCAATTTTTATAGGTGCTTGGCCAATTTTATAGAGGCCTAAATAGCCTATTTCATGGGCAGTTAAGACATGCACGTCAAAGGGTTAGGGTTAGGGAAAGGCAAATAAGAATAAGAAAAACAATAATAAATAAACTAATTTATATATAAGATATTTAGGTGAGGGAAGTTGAGAGCAAGTTTTCAAAGAAAAAACATAAAAATCTGCAGTTACAGTTAGAATTTCAGACCTACCTGTCTAAAACAAAATTCATAAATATCTTACAATATCTGGCACTGATGAAATGACCAGCACTAAAAGAAAAAAGGGCAGTCTCGACCTCTCTCAGCTTCTGTATTTAGACTACAACTGAGTGATGCATCCTCATAATAGACGATCTCTGAGAGTTGTGTGTGCGTGTGTGTGTGTGTGTGTGTGTGTGTGTGTGTGTGTGTGTGTGTGTGTGTATGTGCATGTGTGTTTGTGTGTTTGTGAGTGAGTGTGTGTGCGCGTGTGTGTGTGTTTGTGTGTGTGATATCTCAGACGTCACAACCTGCCGTTGGTCGAGTTCAGCTCAGTTCAGTTGGGATCAGATGAGCCATTGGTTCCTCTCCGGAGGTGAACTAAACTAGATCCGGATGTAGAGGCGGCTTTAGCCCGCGTCATCCGAGCTCACGGTCTGAACCGGGACACTTTTCACATTTTATTTAACCCGGGACAACTGCTGCAACTAGCAGAGAGAGCCGGGGCGGAGGGGAGGAGGGAGAGCCGCCGTTAACGTAACATCCGTGACGTCGGTCCGCCCGGGCTGCCGCTCTGCTGGGTTTACCACCACGCTGTTTGTCAGGAAGGTTCCTCATCGTGTTTACGGAGTTATCGATTGATCCGATCGAGGCCTAATCGTGGGATCGATCATTGTGTGATGATGGAGAGGAAGAGGACGGACTGTCCCGCTCTGCCGCCCGGCTGGAAGAAAGAAGAAGTGATCAGGAAGTCCGGACTGAGCGCCGGGAAGAGCGATGTCTACTACTACAGGTACTCCGTCACACTCATCGATCAGTCACTGATCAGTCACACAGCAAACCGTTGATCGATCGGTCAGCCTGTGGTTATTGGTCCTACTCCTGAGTGACATCATCGCTCATCACTACTGCTGCTCATAGTTGATCAGGTGTTGAAGTGACTCAGTTGAAGTTACAGTGTGGCGTCTGTGCTGCTGTGATCAGAGAGAGGCTGAGGGTCAACATGGTGTCAGGAAAACATCAGGATCATTATGTGACTTTAATAACAACCCTGTAATGTTCCTGTTACAAAGTGGCTCTGTGCTTGTCCACAAACAGTTAATTGACACTGACAATGTAAAAGTCCTTTCATTCAGAGTGTGGTTTTATTTCTGTGTTCATTTATTGGCCAAAGACTGAGTGAAGCTGAGATGTAAACTGACACATGCCACTTCTGAGTGATATATCACTGCTGTCTGTATCTACTGGCATATGTCACTTATCAACAGTGTGCTGCTCATGACCACTGGCAGATCATATTTTCCCTAACATATATGACTGCTTTTTAAAAAACAACTTTATTACAGAGATTTTACACAAAATGTACAACTAGCACACATCCAGCGCCTTCACCTTGTCAAAGAGTTTGAAACCACAACCCACCTCTGAGAGGGAGTTGGCCATTTTATCATGTGAACGCCCACTGTCTTGTCTATTAGCTAACAAAGTCAAGGATTCAGTAGTAGCTTATATCAGGATGCATGCACCACAATGAGATTACAACACATTTCCAAAAACAAGGTTACAAGGTTACAGGAGGGCAAGAAACGTCTCTTTGGGTAACACTTCTCTGTATGTCAGGTATTTAGTATTTATAGTCAGCTTACAAACCTTTAGTTTACACTATTATGAAGTGTCATGCAGTTATAAGGCTGATCCAAGTGTGTAATTATGTACAGGGTTTCTCAACAATTCAACTTCTCCTAGAAGACATTTCATATTATTACAACTCTGCTTTGACTACTATATCATCATTCATTATCCTGTGGTCCTCCACTAATGGCTGCCCACAGCTGGAGGTACAGCTGTTTACAAAGATATAAATAAACACCTACATCTCAGGTCTGGATTAAGAATGATCACAACCTGAAGTACAATATCAACACCTGTAGATATTTACACCGCATGACAGAAACAATACTGTCCTGAGCCAGCAGCAACAATCTCAACGCATTAGCCTAGAGTGTGTAGCTGTATGACACACACATGCACGAGCACACACACACACACACACACACACACACACACACACACACACACACACACACACACACACACACACACACACACACACACACACACACAGTGCTCTGCTCAGGTAGACCTATAACAAATAATAATACATGTAACCTGTATCATGCAGGATCACACATCCTGACACAGAGATGCGATGATAAAATTACAATAGGGTCCTTGGGCCCTAATAACCAAAGATTTGTCTATATGGACCTAATATTGCATTTTATATAGTTATATCAATGTGTTATACCATGTTATACTTTATATCAATAAAGTTTGATAAAGTCAGTCAATGATTGGCCTGTGAATGACTCAGCCACTCATGATGAAGACTACGATAAGGAGAGGTCAGTACAAAATATAGTTAACACTGCAAGGTTATTACAAATTCATAAGTAAGTAAGTGTTTAATTTTTTTTTTTGTCTTTCTTGTATTTAAATAATTATATTCACTCACCATAGGGCAGAACGATTAATGGATATATAACTGAAATCACAATATGGCCAAGTGCAGTATCCAAGTCACAGGAGCTGCAGTTTTTTGATAAATGTAAAATATGTTACAACAACAGACCATAAATGAAGTGTTGTGTTACTACAGACACGCCCCGGACTACAAATCATATTCTGCAGACGTAAAGTAACATGTTTGTTTGGTACAAGACCAACAAAAATCATCATTTTTACATTTTTTTTCAGTGAAAGTGAAATTCAAAAGTGACCATTCACACTGGAACCGTGACTCATAATCGCAATATATTGCTAGTTATGATTCATTGGAATAAGTAAATAAAAAAATGATCAAGTAAATGAATAAATAAAAGATGATCAAGCAGTCTCAGTTCAGTTTTATTCTTTATGCACATTACATTAGATTTCACCAAGAGGCCTCAGACTGTTGGTTTCTCTGCCTCAGTAACCATCACTGCAGTATGAAGGAGTTCAGCTTCTCCTTAAAGCAGATCAGATTCATCTGTGAAGTTTCGCCTTCTGCTCTTTTCCTGGTTCTGTATCTTCACTCATCGCTGTTGTGTTAGATGGGAGAGGAAATGTTGTGGCCGTGACGCTCATGAGCTGGCGGCTGTTTTCAGGGGCTGCGTTCATGTCTTGTTGCTGAGTGATGGAGGCAGCTCTCACTCTAGCAGATTAACAGCTCAGAGTCAGAGACACATGCTGTCCTGGTCCAATCCTGGACTTTTAACATGAAGGAGATCCACATTTCAGAGCTGAGACTTTACTTTCAGTTTGCTTTATAACGTGACTCATCATCACTTCCAGTAAGGAAACCAGTCAGCAGGCCGGCTTACTGGAATAGCAGCAACACCCTGCTGAGGCGTCTACTGGCTGCGTTTCTACAAACTCAACTGTGTCTCTGTTCAAAACCACAGAGTCCAGATTCACACAGTTTCTCAGATATAGTCTTCACAAGATGAAACACAATATACATGACACAGTCAGTCACACACACACACACGCACGCACGCACGCACGCACGCACGCACGCACGCACGCACGCACGCACGCGCGCACACTCACACACACTCACACTCACACACACACACATACACACACAGAGCCAGTGATCTTTGATTTGTAGCTGCTGACCTACATGTCAAACACAGCTGAATGACTGTGTGTCTTGTTCTTGTGTCTTTGTGAGGACCAGTCAAACTGTCAGAGCTTCAGAGGAGCTGATGACATGTTGTCTGCTGCTCCCACTGCTGCAGGGTTAAAGCTTGATTTTAGGGTTCAGGTTAGAATTAGACTTAAGTCAAGGTTAGGGGCTTGGCGATGTATTATGCCCCCACAAGTATAGCAGTACAAATGTGTGTGTGTGTGTGTGTGTGTGTGTGTGTGTGTGTGTGTGTGTGTGTGTGTGTGTGTGTGTGCGTGTGCGTGTGTGTTAGTTCAGAGCAGTGAATGAGGAAGTGTGTGACAGTTGCTGCTGGTGTCAGATGTGATGTCATAGCTGACTGATTTTCTCAGAGAACAGAGAACACCAAACGATGGCGAGTTTAAAACCATGGGAGTTTGAAATTGGCAAGTGGGACTAGTAACTTTCTGTTGCCCAGCAACTGTTCAGGAGCGAAGACATAGTCCACTCATGTGACAGCAAGGAGTGTTAGAGTTCAGCTCTGAGATCAAAGGCAATTGTTTTGAAATTGAATTTATAGCAGTTGTGAGTCTTGCTTATGTCCACTGCTATTGGTTGATGCACAATGCATGCTGGGATACTTGTCTAGCCTAAGGTGACACAAGTCAGTGCGATAAAGTGGGTGGGGCAACAACACTACGGGGTGTTTGGACTGTATTTGAACACAAGTGCAGACAGCTTGCATGCTGTCTCCAGGTCCTGTGGGTGGGAGGTGTTTCCATGGTAACACCATGAGACAAGTGAACATGGAAGCTGTAAAGTATTGATCAATATATTGAATATATTTTACCAAAATGCTCAATATATATTGGAGTTTTCAGTATGCCGGTGCAGTGCACTACAACATATATGATCTAATTTATTTCGGTCTAATTTATTTTTATTTATTATCTTTTTATACTGAATATATGTTTAGTAGTTTTCAGTAAGTTGTGGAAGTACACTAATGAACTACAACAATTGTTTTATATTATATATTTAATTGTATATATTTAGATATCATATATTATTTATTATTTTATTTATTTATCACACTTTTTTAAAAAGTTCAGTAAATGCGTGGTGTGTCCAAAGTCAATTAGTAATTGTGTTAAATAATCCTGATCTCAATATTGATGAAAATGATCTTGATTATGATTTTTGCCGTAATCGAGCAGCCCTACACTAAGTGATGAACAGATGTCAGGCAGCCATGTTTGTTCCTTCGGTCTGGCTGCTGTTTTATCAGCTTCACTGGATTCTCATTATATAGTTTGCTGGTTACTAGATAAAGCACATACATCACTGTTAGACATGTATAATGACTGTAGTTTGTTTGGACTCTCAGTGTTTGGAGCCTCTGTTTAAATCTTTTTAGACATCATCACTGTAATATTACGACTCCAAAGTCAAATTCTCTTGTTCTGTCCCATATTCATGAAATGTCCACTTAAGTTCCGGTCAGTCACTGCGTCAGTTAATATATTTCGATTGCCTGACAATTAAAAATATATCAACGGTCTAACTCTCTTCCTTTCAACCTTCAGTCCTTCAGGGAAGAAGTTCAGGAGTAAGCCTCAGTTGTCCCGTTACCTAGGAAACAAAGTGGATTTGGGATGTTTCGACTTCCGGACGGGGAAGATGATGCCTGGGAAACTGCAGAAAAACAAACAGAGGCTTCGACACGACCCGCTCAGCCTGGCCAAGGTAACAATGACGGATCACACCTGTGAGGGAGGGGCTGCGGCTGTGCCATGGTCATGTTGTGTGTTATCGGATTATCAGATTAACACGGCTCTTCCTGCAGCAGGTTGACAGTTCAGCAGGTCAGTTGACAAACATTCACTACAGAGGAGAAGAGTCACAATGTGGCTGAGCGCTCTGTCCACAAACCAGAGCTGTAGGACTCACTATAGTCTCAAGAGTTTTTACTTTTATCTCAGACTGTGTCAGCCCTGTTAGTTTGACACAGACTTGTCCAGGTCTTGTCAGTGTTTTCACATGGATTGTCTCATGAACACTCTGATTTGTCCTATGGGTGTTTTGATTCAGACTTGTCCCTGTGTCCTGGGTGTCCTTGGTCCAGTGGATGTTTTGATCTGGTCTTATTAGTATCTTGACTCACACTTGTCTGGGTGTTGTGGGTGTTTACTCGAACTTGTCTTGGTCTTGTGAGTCCCATGATCTTGATTGATGCCACTCTGAGTCTTAACACTCTGTTACGACCCACTTAAGAAAATGTCCAGGGGAACACAGGGAGTAACGTGAGGTTCACAAGGTGACTCTAACAAACCACAACAACAAAGAAAAGAAAAAGGTGTTTGAGACACAGGAATTATCGCATGGACTGGTGTTTATTATAGTAACACATAACGCAACAAATAACCAACATAAGATTGCAGGAAGCAAGAAACGTTGGGGTCTCCAAGGCTAAAATAACAAACAAAACTCCCCATGCCACCTAGGAAATAAAACAAATAGACGATCTCTAACCTCCCTGAATGTCCACAAAACAGGAGAAAACAGGATAAAAGGAGGCAGAGACCCCTGCAAAGCTTCCTCTGCATTGATAAAGTTGTTTGCCCAACAGAAACACTTGAAGACACAGTCAGTCAGCAAGGACAAGAAAGACAACAACCACAGAAGCAACATAACAGTCTCATAGGCAGCTTGGTGGCCAAAGGGCCTGGAACTCCAGTTGTGGGAGGCTGATATAGATGTCCACTGATGAGGAAGTGACAAACATGCATGATAGACCTGCAACACACATCACAACATCAGTGGACGTAACACATTCACAAAAAAGAGACAAGCCTTGAGGACATTTTGAGTTGGACCTGTCTTGTCAGGGTTAGGATTCAGACTTGTCTGCATCTCATAGGTGTTTTGACTCCGACTTAGTGTGTCTTGGTCTTTTGGGTGTTTGGATTGTGACTAACCTCAAACTTGTGGACATCTGACTCCGAATTGCCCTGTGGGTGTTTTGACTCCGACTTGTCTCAGACTTGTCCCTGTGTCGTGGATGTTCTTGGTCGAGTGGATGTTTTGACTTAGACCTATCTTTGTCTTGCAGGTGTTTTGACATGGTCTTATGAGTGTTTTGACATGTACTTGTCTCAGTCTTGTCTTGACCTGGTCTCGAGGTTTTTTTCTGTGTTTAGACTCAGTCTTGATCTCGGGAATTTTGTCTCTCGGTCTACTGGATGTTTTGACTCATACTGGTCTTGGTTTGGTGGCCGTTCACTTCACACTGGTCTGTGTCTCCTGGGTGTCTTCACTCAGACTGGGCCTGCTCTTGTCAGGGTTTGTCTTAACACTCACAAATCACAGACAAGTCTTGTGGGCATTTGGACTTGGACTTGTCCTGTGGGTGTTTTGAGTCAGTCTTGTAATGGATGTCACATCATTGGTTCAGACGACAGTAAACAGTGTTTTGAACATCAGTCCACAACTCTTTAATTAGCTGCATCCCATTTAGTGTTTCCAGCTGCGTTTTCCTCACATGGCTCAACAAACCTCACTGTGAGTAGACTGGACTCATTAACATGTTCAGGCATCCATCTAATTAAATTTGGATGATCATCCAACCTGGGTCAGCTGATACACACACACACACACACACACACACACACACACACACACACACACACACACACACACACACACACACACACACAGGACCAACCCTGACTCACAGAGGATAAATCCTCAATATTTTTACTGGTAAGTTAACTGAAAACAATACTAACAGTCACTAACAAATTCCAGTAGCATCAGTACTGTTGCTATGGTTACAAGCAATTTAATATACCCTGAGCTCTAATCAGAACTGTAGTTACCCTGCTGACCAGATGTGTTTGAGCCGTCCACTTGTATCATTTTAACAGATGCCTGACACAAACCAGGATTTTCCGCTGTCATGTTTTAAGCTACGCTAATGGACAGACTGCTATAATAAGCTCCGCCCACACAGATCAGACTGCTCTGTGTGTGTATGTGTGTGAGTGTGTGTTGGGTGAAGTATGTGTGCTTGCATGCCTCTGCACACGTACGCATGTGTGTGTGTGTGTGTTGTTTTGTTTGTGAACTGCAGTCTTTGTGCCAGAGATAACAGCAGCATGGACCCCTCCCACACAGCAGACACGTCTCAGTGTTTCTTTAAGTGAAAACACACAAACACTAGAGCTAGGAGAAAGATCATGCGGTCATTCAAATGTACAGGTTCACCCTCTGGAACAGGAAGGAAATCGGGGCTTGTATGTTACCAAGCGTAAAAGGTAGAAAGTTTCAGAGTGACCCTCTTAGGACCCTCTATTCAAGTGTCCCAGTGAGTCCTGCCAGTGTGACAGGGAGGCGGCATGAACAACACCTGGACCCTAAAATTAGAAGGAGCACACGTCTACCTCAGCAGACAAAGTGATTTACATTTTAGGGCTGCCATGCAAGGCGGTCGCCTGCTCAGCAGCAGCAACCTGGGGTTCATTGTCTTGCCCCAGGACACTTGGACATATGGACAGGAGTAGCCAGGGATCAAACCACAAGCCTTTTGGTTAATGTACAACCTACTCTGCCTCCTACCTGCTGAGCCACGGGTTGAATTTATAAGCAATCAAACACACCCTTAGTCAAATGAACACAATGAGGTGTGTGCTTATTAATAATTTCTGCAAAACATTATAAAACACTGTTGATTATAACCTGTATAATTAGATGATTTATAAACAGAGTATAAATGCAGATGTAAATAATTATTAAAGCCAGTGGAAATGGCTCATGTGCATCTGACCGGTGAAGTCCAACTGTAGTTTGACGGATCAGTTCACAGTTTTTACTAAACATGCAGATGTTTGTCAAACAGTTTATTTAAACATAGAGCATACAGCATACAAGCATAGCAGCTTAACAGATGAGCCAGCTGTGCTTCATCAGAAATGATGCTGCTTCAGATGACAGATCAGAGGAATTTCCTCTTTAGGTTATTTGCATGTATAACCTGCATTAGTTAAACTACCGCATTTCAAATGTTAGCTACTTTTTTAAAGTCCATATAGTCTAAAGGTCTCTGTCCATGTGTTGTTTGATTATAGATCAGGTCTAGGTTCTATATTAATACTGTGAAAGTATCAAAGCCTCAGTCCACAGAGAAATGCACACAGCCTGTATTCAGAAACTGAGCCTTAAAACCAGCCGTCAGGACTTCTGGAACAACAAAGCAGTGACCACTCTCAGCCATGCCCCAAGCCCCGCCCACCAGCACCCACCATCCAACCTTGCAGGCTTTTTTCTCTGAGTGCTGCTATTTTTTATTGGATCACTCAGAAAACAGTCAGCCAATCAGAAGAGAGGAGGCTTTGAGCAGAGATGAGAGATTGAGATGGTTTTTGGTTCTTGAAACCATAAATATCTCTCCTCATGGAACACTTCAAATAAAACAGTTTGCACAACAACAATAGTCTGCAACTGTCTACCTATGCTACCATAATTACTGCTTATCAGCTAAAGAGTGTGGTTAAACAGCAGTGTCACACTTCTTTTGGTGAGTCGTCATTCTGCTGAAAGTCAGAGTAGGAAGCTTCTTAAATGACTTTCAGTCCTGCTCTGACAGAGGACTGCTTTTTGCCCTGGTTTAAAGGAATAATGCAACATTTTGTTATGTTTATTTACTGACATGAGAAGACTGGTACATACAAATACAAGATTAAATTGATACATAAGAATCATCTTATTTTACTCTCAGCAAGAAAGTGAAGAAGTGTTCCCAAAATGTTGCATTGTTCCTTAAACTTTCAGTGTGACTCCTGTGAGGGTTTCTGAGATGACTGATAACTGCAGGCCTGTGTGTGTGTGTGTGTGTGTGTGTGTGTGTGTGTGTGTGTGTGTGTGTCGGGACCTGTTCTGGTATAAACACTGATCTTGTTGGGACCAGTTGTCCTTATGGGGACCAAATCCCGGTCCTAATGAGGCAAAACATAATTTCTGCAATGTGACTGATTTTTTTTATCAGAGAACAACAAACTTGAAAACAGCCAGGGGAGTTTGAAATTGGCAAGTGGGACTAGTAACTGTTCATGTGCTGCATGCAACTCTGCATCATGCTGCTGCTCTTCACACATCATTACTTTGGTGTATGAACACACACATACACACACACACACACACACACACACACACACACACATACACACACATTTCCTGTTGTTGTCTGTGAAACCTCAGCTTACAGTTAACCCTTTAAAGTCAACTGACATACACAAACACAGGTTGCAGGTTTATTATGGTAAAACAGACCATGAAGGAGGGAAGGAACAAGGAAAACAACAGGGGAAGGAAGGAAGGAAGGAAAGAGCAATGAAAGGAAGAAGGGAGGAGAAAAAGGGTGGGAAGGAAGGAAGGAATTAGGAAGAAAGGAGACATGTCTCCGACACTTAGTCTCTGTCTCTTCCAGGGAGGAAAACCAGACCTGAACACAGCTCTGCCAATCAGACAAACAGCGTCCATCTTCAAACAGCCCGTTACCAAGGTTACAAGTCATCCTGGCAACAAGGTGAAGACAGACCTGCAGAGAGCAACTGAGCAGCCCAGACAGGTGAGAGTCTCACACACACACACACACACACACACACACACATTACTAGTGTCGCCATGGTGAGGACGAGGTCAGGCTGTTGCACAAGAGATGGCTGATTGGAATAAACCAGGTTGTCATGGTGACTGCAGCCACTAGAGGATGCTGAGGCATCATGGGAAAAGCATGACACACACAGGAGCTGTGTCTGAAATCTCTCCCAGTTTACTAAGTGATGCACTATAGTTACTATACTAAAGTATGAACAGGCAGAGAAAAAGAAACTGGAGAGAGGGATTAAAGATGAAAGGGGGTGGGGGGGATGAAGGAGGAAGAGGAAAGGAGACAAAACAAAAGAGAGTTATTGTTGTTTTATTTTTTGATATCTTTATGATTTTTAAGTTTTCTTGAATGATAGTTGATCATATTAAGATGTAGTCTCTGTCTGACCTCTGTCTGACCCTAGACTCTGTCTTATTGTGCTTTATTAAAACTATTAACTATAAAAAATACTCTAAAAATGTACTTAGTCTGTTCAAGCTGGCTATTTTAAATTACTTTATATACTGCTCTATAGTTTAATCTATAATAATGCTCCATATTCTATTATAATGCTGATCATATGTTTTGTGTAATGACCAGTAACAAACTATCCAACAAACAACTAACAAGTCCAGGTTTCCCTCAGGTTTCCCTCACATAAAGTACAAGTACTGAAAAGCTGTAATGAAGTGTAATACTTAACAATGTACAATGCTATTTTCCACCATTGATTTTAAGGAGTTTGGTAACTGACATGGACACAATCATTTACATTAGTTTGACCCTAACCCAATGAAAAGTAACTAGCTTCTTTCAATCAACACTTGTACTTAACTCGAATATATTCATTCTATGTACTTTACATTTCTACTCTGCTACATTTGCAGATCAAGATTTTAAATACAAAACATATCAACTGATGAAATATGATGCATTACACATATTATACCAGACAGCAGAACATAAAGTAGCTCTGATTCCACCAGCTACAACATTAAAACTCCTTAGAGTTTAGACCATTACAACCTAATTCATCTGTAACAATGAGATGAGCCAATGTTGAGAATGAATATTCTTACACCCGCAGCAACAAGTGTGTGATGCACAATCGTCACTATCATGTCTCCTCTTATTTTGTGGTCAAAAGCAGCTGCCTTCTTTGCCTAATGGTGAAGTCCTCCCCTGCTTTTATCCACAATCCATATTTTGTCTGTTTTTGCATCTTGCATAAACAAACAAATGAGCAACAGTCCAGTTCACTGAGGGCAACACATACTGAATACCACACAGATCAGAGTGAGAGGGTGTGTTACTAATGACCCCTGCTGGAGGACGAGGCACAGCCTGGTGCACTTAAAGTCTTTGAGACTGTGTGGAGTGGACTGTGACATGTTCATGTTTAAAAATCCACACTGAGAACTTCCATGTTTGAAAAGCTAGTAAGTGGACCATTGAGTTGATGTTATTTTGTCACATATAGTGTGCATTTTCAGTTTGAAAAGATCATTGCAGATTGAATATTTAACATGTTCAAACAGTAGTTTGAATTTCTCCTCATTATGTCTTGTATAGTCTTTTTTAGCAAAACTATATTCGAATGATATTTCCATAAAGTGAGGTTGAATTACAGAGAGAGAGAGAGACTGTATATTCTGATCCATCCTGCCAACCAGCTGTGTGTGTGAATGTGTGTGCGCGGGTCTCATAATGGCTGCAGAGCTGCCACACTCTCCACCCTCTGTTTTACGTACATAGACAGAAAGTGGACTGTAAGTTGGTCTGACAGGCTGCTCAGATAGATACTGAGGCTGGTAAATGAGATACGAAGCATATGACACCTATTATATGGAGAACCACGGGTCACAGGAAAAGTAGTAAAGCATTTCCATAATTTCATATTTTAATAGGCATTAAAAATAGGAATTGTAGAAAGAATTTATGCATTTTAAAATGGGAATACATTCCTGGATTCCCTCTTTAATTTCCTTTTTCCAACTGATTTTCCTTTTCCTGTTAGCTAATCGATTAGCATAGTCATTTAGCTTCTCCTGTTAGCCTTTCTGTGACAGTCTGGACCTTCAGTGCTGGTAAAACGCTCTGGATTTGATACGACTGGTTAGCTCTCCAACCAAACAGAGAGCTTGTTACATCTCATGGCCAATTGGGATTGTGTAGCCTGGTTTTACCAGCACTGAAGGTCCAGAGTATTAAGTATTTTTACTTTGTTAATTACTTAACTGTTTTCAGAAGAATCACTGTAGTGGGTTGCCTTTAACACTGACCAGGTCATCTCTCTCTCTGTCTGTCTGCAGCTGTTCTGGGAGAAGAGGTTGAAAGGTCTCCGGTCGTCAGACGTCACAGAGGAAGTCCTGAGGACCATGGACCTGCCCAAAGGGCTGCAGAGTAAGTCTCCAGTATGACCCTGGATTCACATCCATGCTCCAGTCCTGACCTCTGACCTCCGACCTCTTTGTCAGCAGGTGTGGGCCCAGACTCCAGCGATGACACTCTCCTGTCAGCCATCGCCAGCGCTCTGCACATGAGCTCTTCTCCGATCACAGGACAGACGTCTGTGGCTGCTGAGAAGAACCCGGCCATCTGGCTGAACACGTCCCAGCCGCTCTGCAAGGCCTTCACCGTCACTGACGAACATATCCGGTGAGAAACACAGGCTGAAGGTTTCCTTTTCCCATAGTTACTATTTCTACTGTTTTATTTGGACAGTAACTGTTTTAACACTGTATTCATTGGGGAGTGATTTGCATTTTATAAAGAAAAGAGGAATGTGTCTCTGCTCCTGACTCAGGGCTGAAGACATGTCCAGCTGTTTGTTAAGTATCTTGGGACAGTTTGCTGTTTATGTCAATAAATTGGAATGAATGTTACTTTACTCCACCAGCCAGCAGGAGGAGCTGTAGACTGTAACAGCTGAAACCATTTAACCTTCAGCTCTGAATACTAATTAAAACCAAGGGTTGTCAAGCTATGAGGCTCAGCTTTCCACTGGGGAGTGGAAGAGTTGTATGGAGAGAGTGACATGAGGCAAAGATGATGCAATGAAAGAGAAAGCTGTAAATTGGCCCATTTATCAACAGAGACAATTCACAGAGGCATGTAAGCTACTATAAGGTCCCATATAGTCTAAAGGTAGATTTCCATGTGTTGTTTGATTATAAAGCAGGTCTAGGTTCTATATTAATACTGTGTATCAAAGCCTCAGTCCACAGAGAAATGCATGTTTTCACAAACTGAGCCTTAAAACCAGCCGTCAGGACTTCTGGAACTTTGTGATGTCACAGCAAAGCAGTCACCGCCCTCAGCCATGCCCAAAGCCCCGCCCACCTGGACCTACCATCCAGTCTTGCAGGATTTGATTTCTCTGAATGCTTACTTGAAATCTCCTTTAAATTTATTGGATCACTCAAAAAACAGTCAGCCAATCAGAGCCTCCGAGAGGAGATGTAAAACTGCACTGAGATGGTTTTTGGATCAACACTTCAAATAAAACACAGAAGAAGATGAAAATATGGAGCTTTTAAACCTTTAGTGTCCAATCATTGTAATTTGAATCAAAATTCGTGTCAAATCTGAACAGGCATTATTTTAGATTGAGTATAACATACGCTTTCTGACATAAACACACACACAAATTTCTATTTGTGTCCATAAATCCATAAATCCATTTAGAAATCATAGAAAAGGACACTTGTTCAGAACTTCTGAGAATCATCATGTTTCGGAGTTTTCCTCAGTATCACAGTAATCCAGTGATAGTATACATCCATGATGCACTGCAGACAGGAACTGATTCTAGCTTATATGACATTTCTAATGGTGCCAGTTTGCCAAAATGTCAATAAATACAGGTTAAATAAACAGGAACAAGCTATTAACCCAGCCCACAGCATAACTCACTTATGATGGTGGTGATGGTGGTGGTGATGGTGGTGATGGTGGTGATGGTGGTGATGGTGGTGCTGATGGTGAATATGGTGGTGCTGATGGTGAATATGGTGGTGATGGTGGTGATGGTGGTGATGGTGGTGATGGTGTTGATAGTGATGATGGTGGTGATGGTGTTGATAGTGATGATGGTGGTGATGGTGGTGATGGTGATGGTGTTGATGGTGTTGATGGTGGGGGTGTTTAGGTGATCAGTTGTCTGGAGTTTGTTTGGGGAGGGTCACAGCTTTGAACAGTGATGACACTGGTTGTGCACTCATGTTAGATAAGGTGGCTCCAGCTGCTGCTCATTTGTCCTTTTCTGCTTATGTGCTCCTCCAGACCAGAATAATGCCAAATCATTAATATATACCCACACTTCAACTGTTAGTTTTGCCCATGCTGTGGCAATTTTTAAGATGCTGCCGAGTTGAAACTTTGGCAACGCTGAGGACAGCACACACCTGAACACTCACACAGCTGTAACAAACAATAAACAAGATCCTGTCATTCAGTCACCTTTAGATAGATAGATAGATAGATAGATAGATAGATAGATAGATAGATAGATAGATAGATACTTTATTTATCCCCTAGGGGAAATTCATGAAAGCTTTAGCTATTTTAGTTTTTCTCAGTTGCTTTGATGCAGTTCTCACATCAGAAATGTCGTCCTCACTAGTCTTAATGCAGGTGTCAGCACAGTTCATGCATTTCTGCATGCAAAACTCTCTAAAACTTGTTCACGTCAAACGTCATACACTTCAACATTGTCACCAGAGCTTCAAGACGTAGACTACAAATGTTTTGATGTTTTGATAAAAACCTGACTGACTTTAGAAAAAGAGAACTGCATTGGTGTTTACTGTGCTGTGTACATTTCAAGCCCTCTCAACAGATCACTGTCCTGTCACTTTACAACACTGTATGAATATGTATACACAAGCCTGTGGAAGACAGAGCTTCAGATTTAGAACATTGTAAATCCAAAGATTTAGTATAATGAGAAAAGTGTTTGGCATTTGATGCAAATACTTGATTTTTAAATGTGTTTATGATATTTTGAATGCAGTGTTTGCTTTGCAGTAGACTTGTGGCACTTTGTATTTTGTGAGCAAGTTTTGGATTTGTGTGCAGAGTTTTGAAAACATGAGGCCTAGTTTAGAAAATGAGTGAAAGCAAGTGAAAAAACTGTATCTGTAAATTCACAGAATATAACTGCTGTAACTGAGGAAAGCAAAATGATAAACATGGAACTATGCATCGGCAAATAGACAAAGAGAAATAAGAAATCATACTTAGAACATATCATCAATTATAGTACGTGTGTGTGTGTGTGTGTGTGTGTGTGTGTCTGTGTGTGTGTGTGAGAGAGAGGCTATCCTTGCTCTTTCATACATATTTGAAGAATGTTTAAAGTGATCTGATTGAAAACATTGATGCTGCAGGACAGTATCAAAGTGAGTGAGAGGTCTGTCGTTCTATCTGACGGAGGAACAAACTGTTTCCATGAATTTTCAGAGTCAGATGAGAAATGCATCAACACAATGAGAAAACATCTTTAGCAGTGAACTATGTGTGGATACAAAGGAGGCTTGTACTAATACAATATGAAATGCTAATGTGTCTGAGAACAGCATTAAGAGAGGTGAGAATGATGTTTCTGATTCGAGAACTGCATCAAAGCCATTGAGAAAAACTGTAAAATCCCAGTATGACAACAAAAACAGCTTATTTTGTAACACAACTGCAGATAGAAGGGTAACTCCTTACCTTCTGAATATCAGAGGCCTGTATTACGAAGCAGGATCTGAGCTTAGCAAGGTAACTTCAGCTTTAACTCTGGGTTGTCAGGCCTACGACGGTGGTTCACTTGTTACCGGGCTAGTTCACCATGGTAACCTAACTAACTGAACTCCTAACCTGCTCCGGAGCAGGTTAACTTCAGAAGATCAGATCAAAACCTGTCAACAGCCAAACTACTGACCAATCAGATCACTGGAAAAACTGAGTCATCATTCCTACAGGATCCTGACAGGGAGTTTACAATGAAGTGATCAATAATAAAGCTCAACAGATATTTGTATCCATTGGTAGAATTGTTATGCTCTTCCAGACAAAACAGAGATTTACCACAGTGAATAAATACATCATAACTATTATAGCTTAATTCAACTGGACAAAGATTCTTAAATCATTAATTTATTCATGGTCCTGATGATGCCGTGCTTGTAGCCTGATAGGAAAACCCAGAGCTGTTAACCAGCTTCATAGTACAGGTTATCCAGTGAAGCCAGATAACCAAAAGATATCCTGGGCATGTTGAACCTGCTTTGTAGTGCATGCCTCAGGTGCCAGCTACAGTATGTTGCTAACTCCAGTTAACAGTTAGCACATGTTTCCATTCAAAGGTGGTTGTTAAGGCGGTTAAAAAGCTAATTGTTGTAGTTAACCAAGGTTAACATACTTGTCATTACATGTGATGAGATGTGTCATATCACAGAAACATGTCAGACATGTATAATGCCGTTTCTTCTCACTCCGCCCTCTGATAAAACCTAAAGCGAGTGAATCCAGCTCAGCACAGATCGGAGAAAAGCAGATGACTGATGCCTGCTCGGTAGTGGGAGTAATCAGCTGTAGGGACAGATGAGGATGAGAGGGTGATGAGAGAAGAGACAGACAATGAGAGATGAAGAGTAATGAAGCATGAAGGAGGAGGAGGAAAAGGAGGATGAAGCAGGCCCCACTTCAGTCATGCTGAGAAATTTATACCAAGCGTGATTCAAGACATCTCTGGGTAGCAGCTGGAAGAGAATCAGTCTTCACCTCATCATTGATCATCATTGATCATCATTTGCACAAATATCCAGTCCACCTGTTAAACAGACTCACCTGGTGTTGTGTTACAATACAGGCACGTTAGCACAATAGCTACAGGACATCAACTATTCAGCTTTTAGAGCAGTTTCTTTTGTCCAGGCTGTCTCTGATTTCACATACAGTGCATCCGGAGTATTCACACCCCTTCACTTTCCCCACATTTTGTTATGTTACAGTCTTATTCCAAAATGGATTAAATTCCTTTTTCCTCATCACTTTACACACAATACCCCATAATGACAAAGCGAAAAAGACTTTTTTAGAAATTCTTGCAAATTTATTAAAAATAAAAAACTGAAATATCGCATGTACATAAGTACTCACACCCTTTGCTATGACACTCAATAGTGAGCTTAGGTGCATCCTGTTTCCACTGATCATCCTTGAGATGTTTCTACAACTTGATTGGAGTCCACCTGTAGTAAATTCAATTGATTGGACATGATTTGGAAAGGCACACACCTGTCTATATAAGGTTCCACTGTTGACAGTGCATGTCAGAGCAGAAACCAAGCCATGAAGTCAAAGGAATTGTCTATAGACCTCCGAGACAGGATTGTATCGAGGCACAGATCTACAAAAACATTTCTGCAGCATTGAAAGTCCCGAAGAGCACAGTGGTCTCCATCATTCGTAAATGAAAGAAGTTTGGAACCACCTGGACTCTTCCTAGAGCTGGCAGCCCAGCCAAACTGAGCAATCGGGGGAGAAGGGCCTTGGTCAGGGAGGTGACCAAGAACCCGATGGTCACTCTGACAGAGCTCCAGCGTTCCTCTGTGGAGATGGGAGAAACTTCCAGAAGGACAACCTTCTCTGCAGCACTCCACCAATCAAGCCTTTTTGGTAGAGTGGCCAGACGGAAGCCTCTACTCAGTAAAAGGCACATGACAGCCCGCTTGGAGTTTGCCAGAAGGCACCTAAAGGACTCTCAGACCATGAGAAACAAGATTCTCTGGTCTAATGAAACCAATATTGAACTCTTTGGTCTGAATGCCAAGCGTCACGTCTGGAGGAAACCAGGCACCTCTCATCACCTGGCTAGTACCATCTCTACGGTGAAGCATGGTGGTGGCAGCATCATGCTGTGGGGATGTTTTTCAGCAGCAGGAACTGGAAGACTAGTCAGGATCGAGGGAAAGATGAGCAGAGCAAAGTACAGAGAGATCCTTGATGAAAACCTGCTCCAGAGCGCTCAGGACCTCAGACTCGGGCGAAGGTTTACCTTCCAACAGGACAACGACCCTAAGCACACAGCCAAGACAACGAAGGCGTGGCTTCAGGACAAGTCTGTGAATGTTCTTGAGTGGCCCGGCCAGAACCCAGACTTGGACCTGATTGAACATCTCTGGAAAGACCTGAAAATAGCTGTGCAGCGACGCTCCCCATCTAACCTGACAGAGCTTGAGAGGATCTGCAGAGAAGAATGGGAGAAATACCCCAAATACAGGTGTGCCAAGCTTGTAGCTTCATAGCCAAGAAGACTTGAGGCTGTAATCTCTGCCAAGGGTGCCTCAACAAAGTACTGAGTAAAGGGTGTGAATACTTATGTACGTGCGATATTTCAGTTTTTTTATTTTTAATAAATTTGCAAAAATTTCTAAAAAACCTTTTTCGCTTTGTCATTATGGGGTATTGTGTGTAGATTGATGAGAAAAAAAGGAATTTAATCCATTTTGGAACAAGGCTGTAACATAACAAAATGTGGGGAAAGTGAAGGGGTGTGAATACTTTCCGGATGCACTGTATTGGAAAGAAGGAATGAAGAAAAATGATCACCAATTGAAACTTAATTATGCATGATGATGATGCATTGCGGCTCTTCAAACTGCAGTGGTGGGCTATGAGGCGGATTCTCGGTAAGAGGCATGACCGCAAAGTGCTGCTCTGGACCCAGGACGTTACGGTACAGTACACTGGCTGGCTGCTCTCCCCAAATGTCCGAAATCGTCGCAGCAGATTTAAAAATATACGTTACTCTTATAAATGGACCAAAAATTGTGAGTCTATCCAGTTACATTCTCACCTGAAAAAATGTTCAGTACGCAGGTAGGTAGGTGAGTAGGCAGTATGCTAGGCAGTTTTGAACACAGCCTGGGTCTATTCCTTGGCATGTTCTAGACTTACTAAATCACCCAAGATTTTTGATGTACTTGTAATAAATCTTTTCAGGCTTTTCAAAAAATTTCAGACAGCGTGTTTCGTTTGTACTCCATTCACCAAAATGCATTTGCTTGTTGTTGCCTGTTGTCGCACTTAAATATGATGCCACTGGCACACAAACTTGAAGATCAAGTTGAAACTTGCTGTAAATAAATAATCCATCACAGTCATCATTTAGTCAGAATTAGTTTCTTATGGCTTAAGTCAAAGTCTCATGTGTTACTTTTTGTTTTTCCGGATTTACAGCTTCTGAGTTCATTGAGAAGGCTGATGATATTCTATTCCACTGTCTGTAGCTTTCAAGTCCAAATTCCTTGGTTTTTCCCATATCTATCTATCTATCTCTCTATCTATCTATCTATCTATCTATCTATCTATCTATCTATCTATCTATCTATCTATCTATCTATCTATCTATCTATCTATCTATCTATCTATCTATCGGTGCAAAAACAAGTCAGTACGGCTCATCAGTGCAACAAGGACTGAGACAGAGACCAAATGTGAACAAACAGAAATGAGAGAAAATGAGAGAGAGGGCAGAGAGAGAGATACAGAGGCATATGAACAATTTGGTAACCAATTGCTGTGATTTGGATTGGCTAGTGTTACAGGGGGGTTATTGTATATTATTTATTGATTGGGAGAATGCATAGTGAAAAAGAGTGGCTTTGGTATTATCAATAATAATAATTTTCAGCCATATTCCTAGTTGCTGTTGCTACAGTTGCTCCTCTCTTCAGCTCTGGCAAACCAATGCATTGTTGATGAGCCAGCACCAGAGACACTGTGACACATGTGAACTCTGGTAGACTGTGAACTACAGAGAGGTTTACCTGGTGCTGGGCTTAATCAGCAGTGTGTCAACTCATTTTAACAGACGTTCATTTAGATGTAAAAGTCCCACACTCCAGCTTTAAACTTAAATTTACTAGAGTTGATGTGTTTCCACAAAGGTCAAAGGAAAGTGAACTTTGCTGTCTGATAACCCCCCCCCCTCCCACCCCCCCCCACCCCCCCCCCCCCCCCCCCCCCACACACACACACACACACCCCTCCTTTCTGTGATCTACAGAATCAAATTACCCCTGAGACCCCATAAAACACACAGACAGTTATTGAAACCTGACAGCAGGGGGCACTGTGGGGACACATACTGACTGTGTGTGTGTGTGTGTGTGTGTGTGTGTGTGTGTGTGTGTGTGTGTGTGTGTGTGTGCCGTGCCAGTTGTGTGTGTGTCCCTGTTCGTGTCCAGTGGAAAACCGAGTAGAGAACAGCTGGCTGAAGCCATTACAGCAGAATCACTGGAATACATCACTGCATCCTTCACTCCCTCGTCTCCTCTCCTCTCCTTCCTTTTCCTCCTCCTTACACCCTATTTTCTTTCCCAGTATTTCTTCCTTTGCTTCCTTGTTTTCAGTCATTCTCCTTATCTATATTTGTCCTTCCCCTCCTCTGTCCTGTTTTTTCCTCATTTCATTTCCTTCTTCCTTACATTTTTCTTTCAGTCACTCCTTTCATTCTTCCCTTTCCTCCATCCCTGTTTCCTTTCTTTAATATTACCTTCCTTCTTCTCTTCATTCTCCCCTTTCCTCTTATATCTCCTCCTTCCCTCCAGCCTGCCTCCTTCTTTTCTTATCTCTCCCCTCCATTAATTTCCAATTCTCTCCCTCTTCCCTCCTCCAGCTGAATGTGCTTGTCATCCTAAATCGCTCTCATTCCTCTCCTCTCCCTCCTCCACCTTTTCATCTTCTCTCCTCCTCTTCATCCACATCAGACTCCCCCCAACCACCACCACCACCACCACCACACACACACACATGCACATGCACACACACACACACACACCCACACCCACACACACACACACACACACACACACACACACCCTACACCCTTTGACAAAAGGCGGCGGACATCTTTTCTCTGAGAAAACAGAAACAAACACACACGTCGCCTCTGAGAGGAGGGAGTCGTCTGAGTTCACGACGACCTGCTCATATGCTGAACGGTTCAACTCTGTTTTTGAAATATCTGAGGTCATCTTGTTTCTTTGTCTTTTTAATTTGTGTATTAAAAGTGGAACCTCAGCAGACTGATGTCAGTCTGACCAACAGCCAGAACTGTGTGGACAACTAAAATTAAAGCGAGTGTTATAATTTCCATATCCGTGAGTATGTGAGGGTTCACTTGGGTCAGCGTGATGTAAATTTTGTCATCAGATGGTGCATCAGATGCTCCGTGCGGACGTCCAAGAGCCCTCCAATTTGTTGCCTCCACACAGACTTCACTGTGCCGGTCCACACGGCCTCTAGAAAGAAGTGTCATAACAACAACTACACGTCCATGTGTGTCCATAAGGGAGTATAATTGCGACCTAAGAGTTGAACTTGTCATTACCAAGCATCGACCTCTGAGGCTGAAACATGAAGCCAACACTGAAGAGCCAAAACCTGCAGTTCCTCTAATGACCACTAGAGTCTGGCTCCAACAGTGAGTCAGTCCCCATAGACTCCCATGTTAAAATGTCCAACTTTACAGCATAAACATAATTAAGTAAAAAATAATTAAGTTAATAAACATGTTTACAGCCTGGTACAAAAACAGTTTTAGTCTCTAGAGCTAATTTCGTCCTTCATGACAACTGTTTATATAACTCACCTGTTTACATTTTATTAAGGCTTAAAGTTATGGAGAATTGAGGGCCTGGCCTCTTTGAGTGACAGGTGGATGCTTGCCACAAACTGGCATGCACCAAAGTCTCAGCTCCACCTCTTTGACCATTTTTGGATTAGCTGGGAGTTAGGGGCGGAGTCAGACACTGTCAAGATGGTGACAGTGGAGCAGCTCACAGCTCAGCTCAGCTCGCTTCAGAAACCTGTGGGTGACGTTACAGAGGCTGCGTCCATCTTTTATTTCAGCCTCTCAGTGTATTTATTGATTCCTGACATTAAATCAAGAGTGTGTGCAGATAGTAAACCAGCAGAGTGTGAAACAGGACTTACAATGAGACATCCTCTCCCACATCTGTGTGTGTGTGTGCAGGGAGCAGGAGCTGAAAGTGTACCAGGCCAGGCGGAGTCTGGAGGAGGCGCTGATGGCCGATGGTTTGGCGCGGGCCGCCGAAAACACCCGAGAGCTGTTGGAGTGGAAGACAGCCTGAAGACAGAACAGATGAGGCAGGTGACTTGTGTTATCAATGTTCATGGGTTCTACTGCAGTTTGTTCTTCTTCACGTGTCTGCTGCATAAGCCAGACAGGTGTTTCAAAATCTGTACATTTTCTTTTGTTAAGTAAGTTCAATAACATTTCTTCTCATCTACAAACTTACATTTTATATTCCATCGTCCACGGTGTGGAAGAAATAAATGTTAAAACATGTTAAAGGGCCCCTCTCTAATGTGCAGATAAGATGCAGATGGGATTGGAAATCTGATAGCTAACATTAGCCAGTTGTCATGGCAACACTACCTGCTTTCAGGCAGGTGAGATGAGGTGCACATCAGTCAAAAACAGAATATGAAAAAAAAAAGACAGATGTGTCAAAGTAAAGAAGGGAAATAAAAGCCACTGAAGTGATGAGACGCTTCAAAAGGTCTACAGCTTCCTGTTCAGACACATTCACTCCCTGGATATGTGGAGCAGAGGGATGTTTGTTTTCCACATATGTGCAAGGCATTGGTTCTGAAATACATGGACAGAGTTAATTTATAGCTTCCAACCTCTGACAGGAGGTTGCTGATATTTTCATGTCTCTGTCCCGGTCAGGACCAGGTTCAGGTTGTCCTTCCATTCTCGTGAACGTGATATCTCAGTAACGCCTATAGGAAACTTTTTCAAATTTGCCACAAATGGCCTATTGGACTCAAGGATGAGCTGATGAGAATTTGGTGGTCAAAGGTCAAGGTCACTGTGACCTCACAAAACACATTTCCAACCATTACGCACAAATTCATAATCTAATAATGACACAATTAAACTCAAATGTCTATCAGGATAAAATTAAGTGAAGACATTTCATATCCAAAAGATCAAAGTTCAAATTCACTGTGACATCATAATGTTCTGCAAAAACACCTCTGGTCATTATTCACGCTGTAACTCAGGAAGGAGAGACTGTGACCATGTTTCCTGATACTTGGCGGGTTGATGGAGGAAACAACTAGAGCTGCACAATTAATGGAAATATGATCGAAATCTCAATATGGCCAAGTGCAATATCCAAGTCACAGGAGTGGCAGTTTTTCTGACAAAGGTTAAATGTGTCACAACATTTTTGTGCATTGTTAGCACCATAAGTGTTATGGTGCTACAGAAATGCCATGACCCGCAAATCATATTATCCAGACAAGGAACGTGTTTGCTTGGTACAAGACTCAACAAAAATCACATCATCATCATTTTTATATATTATTTTAGGTGAAAATTAAATAAAAAACATTTATTCCAACTGAAATCACAATATCTGCCAAAAATAATCGCAATATGATTTTTTTTGCATATCATACAGCCTTACATACAACCACGAGGTGGTGATTCTACTGCTTGCAAACAATAAGCTCAACTCCTAAACTACTAAAGTATTAAACTACTAACATGCCTCAAACTGCACAGACTAGTGAACTTGTAAAGTACTGAACTGCTAAAACCTGCAGAACCACGGACCTGCCAAACTACTGAACTACTGAACTAGAAAACTACTGTACTACTAATACTACAAACCTAACTAGTGAAGTGAACTATTTGGTTTTTGTCTTTTTATGTGAAGCACTGTAACATCTGCTCTTGAAAGGTGCTGTGAACATGAATAAACTTAGTTAACCTGCTGTAGTAGAGAACTAAAGCTCTGAAGAATCACTGATGTGACATGAATGACTAAGTATCTGTGCTGCAGTTTCAGTGTCTTGAACGATGCAGAAGCAGAACCAATCTGCTCTGTCAGAACCACTGTCAGTGCGTGCGTGCGTGCTTGTGTGAGAGAGAGACTTGTGAATGCTGATGGGAGTCTCTGCATCTGATTGAAAGTCAGCCATGCAGCAGACTAACAGACTGTGTGTATGTCTGTGTGTGATTGATGGGCTGTAGGCTTGTTGTGTGTGTAATGGTTAATGTGAGGTGTGTTTGTGTGTGTGTGTTGTATTACAGTTTGTTTGATTATTGGTTGTATTTCACTCTGTGGAGCCTGTAAACAAAAACCAGATTAAAAAACATTTACTTTCAAATTCACACATCCATCCATCATCCTTCTATTTCCTCACTGTTCATCCAGGTCAGGGTCGCTGTGGCAACAGGGTAGCACTACACCATGCTGCTCTCACTGTGAATGTTTTGCTGCAGAATTTGAGATCTGAAGGAGTAAAGAGTCTCATCTGATAACTGCTGTTTAGATCAGTTTAACATAAGTCTGACTCCAGTTCGGATTAAGTCCAGCTTTTGCTGTACAATGATTTAACACCAGAGTGCAGTTTGTCCTGAGGGTGGTGCTAAAGAAAAGGTCGGGGGATGGTTACATAACACTGGTCCATCCGCTGGAGAGCAGGAATATGACCAGGAAATTACACGGAAATCTGAACTGAGCCTAATCTTCAAATGTGGTTTAACTAATCCAGGCTTACATAATGAACATGACCTCAACTGTGAAGCTGCCCTCATGATCAGACTGAATTACCATTTCATGTTTACTTCATTATCAGCTTGATTCTGTGTTCCTGCTAGCTGTTTGCAACGGTGGCAAGGCTGACATCATTTTAAGTGAGAACAGTAGCTGTGGTGGTGTTTGCTGGGATCACTGAACCTGTCATTTATCATGTAGATCATGTAGAGAGTTGACCATGTAACATGGTGAGACAGAGGTCTTTTAGCTGGAAGAAAACTGGGGACATTGTGGTCATGTGGTCTACGCTCCAACCATGAGGCTACCTGGGCGCCCAATATGTTATTTCTTTAAGTTGACTTACACTGACCTGAACAGCTACTCATTTTTCATGGATGCAGCAAGAAAGCTAGCTAGCATACTGCATGTAGGAAGGTAACGTCCAGCTTCTACTAAAAATGAAGTTAAATTCTTATTATAAAATTCTTTATCGATTCAAAGCGTAAAACTCAGTGCTCAAAGTACGATTTTTAATCCTTTTTTAACACCTTGAATCTGATTGGACAAAGACAATCCAATCACAAAGCAGAGTCCAATCAAATCCAGGTGTAAAAACAATTTGTATTTGTCACTTGAGTGTCACTCACTGACAGTTTAAGATGCAGTTTTCTGTTCTGTATCTGCACACAGATGTTCACACAAGCACTTCTTGTTTCACAGTGTCTTTGTGTCACCGACATCATTTGTTTTTACGCCTCTGTGCCGGCGACAGTCAGAACCAGAGGAAATATGTTTTCAGGTTGTCTCAGTAACACCTTGAGGAAACATTCATTTAGACTCAAGGATGAACTGATTAGATTATGTTGGTCAAAGGTCAATGTCATGGTGACCTCACAAAACACAGTTATGGCCTTGTGAACAAAACATCTCAGTAACACCTTCATGGAACTTCTTCAAAAACTTCTTCGAAATGTCCTCTTGGTTTTGGCCTCTTGAATTATTATTATTATTATTTTTGAATTATATTTTAAGACCACTTTGAGGGAATTCATTTAGATTTGGCACAAACATTCACTTTGACTCAACGACTGGTCAGAATCAGAGCCCTTGAATAGAGAGTCGCATCTTCTCCGTTCACTCTAATGGACCATTTTTTCACAGCAATGGCGAATCATGGAGCGTCTCAATAGTTCCTGGTAGTTAGTAGGAAGTGCTAGCAGCGCAGCGGAGTTGCAGCAGAATATACCGTCTGTGATGCACGTTTAACAGGTAAGACGTGTATAGAATCGGATTGCATACTATCAGCACATCAGAATCTAATTAACATGTGCATTAAAGCATGATAGTGGATTCCTCCACTAAATTAGCATATTTAAGGATGTTAACAGATAAGAGATTAGACTTAGATATTGTATATGGATACACTTAACATTGACCAGGAGCCGCCTATTGATAAATCCCGTCTCGTAATGTCATTTCATCCAGTGTTGTGGCGTTAGAGTAAAAGTCTAGAGGTGATTTTTTTGTGAGGTGCGGTTAGTTAAATATTAGTGAAATGTAACATCGGGTGTATGTGAATATCCATTTTGGAGCGTGAGCTAATGTTATATTGCATTAATAATGAAGAGAGCTATTTTTGTGATACATCGCTAAAGTGCATTATTAAGAGGATGAGATTTCTAAACAGTAAACGAAAACCTTATGTGAATGTATTTGGGCTTCGTCATTCTGGTGACCATAACCATATATTACTTTGCAGCTCAGCTGATTTTGGATTGATGACAAAGGGAGAGGGAAGATGGAAAAAGATTGAAAACAAATGGTAAATTTAAAAGGTAAGGCTAACTACTAAAAGTATTTTACTACTTTATCATATGAGTAATCTTGTTGGTGTATATTAGTAAGCTACTGTAGGAGTACACAGGTGCTGTGTGGTGCAGGAGCAGTGATGCTGCAGGTCAGGCTGAGTGGACCATGTTGATGTCTCAAATAAACCAGTGTCCAGTCACGGTAAATATCTATTATACAGTCATTTTATATAAGGAATCATACTGAATACAAAACATGTATTATCACTATTATTATTACACTTCAAAATAAGAAGTAATACTGTAATGATTAAGATTTAATACTTGTGTTGCTTTTAACACTACAGCTGTGATCAGCAGCTATGAGTTCAATATTTAGAGGTCCAGGGAAGCATCGATGAGCAGGAGCCCTCCTCTGTTTGACCTCAGGATGATGCACAAATCTGTAGGAGCAGGATCTGCTCTCAGCCTAGTTTTGCCCTTTTTGGTCTGAACAAACTGGTCTGCCTCAAAATGTACCTGCAGAGTTCCCTCACAACAGTTCACTTCTGTCTACCCACATAAATATCCCATAGTGGTATTAGGGAACGCATTATACTTACTGGACATGTATACACTAATTACATTATTACTTCATAGGAATTCATATAACATCATCATGAAATTTCCTGCATGTCAAAACAAATAAATGAAAAACTCAGTAACTAACAAAACATCAGTAACTGATGCTTCTTGTCATACTTTGTTTAACATCAGCAGCAAAAGCTTTTGATGATCACAACGGATAAAGCTCTGTAACTATAATAATCTCTCAAGACAATTTCCTGTCCAAACCTATAATGTCCAGGAAAGGTTGAATTGAGGGTAGCTACACTTGGCTTTAGATACTAGAAGAGAGTTCAGAGCTGAAGAAGCCTCTTGGATGAGAAGTGAAACATCTTCAAGTATCTACAACCAAGTCCACTTTTCTTGGATAACCTGAATGAAGGAGAAGACGTATGGGTATGTCTAACCCTTTGTCCTCTGTCTTTGCCCTCTTTTTCAGCACAAGAACCAAAAGGAGATTCAATGGAGCCTGAAGATTCCCTGCAGTGAGACAGCAACCACAACCTGCGTCTCAACTCCCTGGGTTTTACAAGCCTTTCCCTGTTCCTTATTTATTCCTATAAACCAAATATTAAGCTCCTCAATGATGTTCTTTGTTTGTGAAAAAGTGCAAACACAGTGTTTGAATACCTCGTATTTTTGGTTGTTAGCATCTTTTTTTCCTTATCATGGTGCAGACTGTATGTTAAAACAGCACAGTGGAAAGGACACAAAGTGCTCAACATGTTATTCATGTGTCTGTGTTTATTAGGGATTTATTAAATTAATTCATGACAATCACTGACAGTCACCTGTCAGTCTCCTTCTGTCCTATCTGAACATCATAAAGATTACATTGGTCATTAAGGTTACTGAGCCTTCACCTATGATGGGATTACTGAAACTTGAATCTGATCAGAACTTTGAAACATTCTTCTCTTCCCCAACAGCATCATGCTCTTTAACCACTGCAAGGTGAGCCTGAAACCTTACAGTGTCAACAAGGCAGGTAACACTAGCTGTTATCCTGAAACATAGACTGTATATTATCAAATAGTACAGAGTTTTGCTTAAAAAACACAGTGATGTAAATACATTCATGTGTCCGTTTTCGATATAAATAAATCAATGCAATTCAATGACTATTAATTAACAACAATCAAAGTTCTGTCTCTGTATTTATGTTTTCAAGTTGCTCGCTTCAAAACTGCAGGAACTATGTGAGGTCAACATGTATCACGTGACGATTGAGCATTTTGGACCTCCACTGATGCGACTCTCTCTATTCAAGGGCTCTGATGAGAATTTGATGGTCAAACGTCAAAGGTGAAGGTCACTGTGACCTCACAAAACATGTTTTTGGTCATAACTCACAAATTCATACATTAATTATGACACAATTTAATGAATAACAAATGTCTATAAGGATAAAATTAAGTAATTTTACATCCAAAAGTTCAAAGGTCAACTTCACTGTGACATCATAATGTTTTGACAAAACACTTCAGGTCATTATTCATTGCTGTAACTCAGGAAGGAGAGACTGTGACCATGTTTCCTGATACTCTGCTGGTTGGTTGAGGGATACAACCGTGAGGAGGTGATTCTAGTCTTTTGTTATTTGTTATTTTTTCAAATCTTTTCTACATGTGTACAAACTTGAATTTCCCCGGCAGACTTATTTTAGATTTAGATTTAGATTTAGATTTTACAAACTTTGGAATAACATCACTTTACAAACTCAAAATCTTAACGACCCTTATTTCAGCCCATATACGTCTGTCATGATGTATCTGTTGTCAGTGGAAACAGTCGTGTCTTTGTGTGTCTTTGTGTGTGTGTGTGTGTGTGTGTGTGTGTGTGTGTGTGTGTGTGTGTGTGTGTGTGTGTGTGTGTGTGTGTGTGTGTGTGTGTGTGTGTTTTCCAATGAACGGTGTGTGTGTCGCTGCTCTCTGATGTTTCCTCTGAAAGCCGACAGACAAGGAGGGTTTTTTAAAGCACATTTGTTTTCTGTGAAAGTAAAATCGTCCATTAATGCAGATTTATGTAGATTGGCTGGATGGAAGTCGTTTGGGTGAAAAGAGCCGCTGAGAGTTGAGGAGTGATTACTAATGGGTTTTTATAGCTGGACCAGAGAGTGGGCAGCGGCCAGACTGTGTGTGTGTGTGTGTGTGTGTGTGTGTGTGTGTGTGTGTGTGTTTTTGTGTGTGTGTGTTTTTGTGTGTGCGTTTCCTATCCTGCTTTCTAGCTGTTGAAACAACCAGAAATCTCAGACTGTTCAGTTTGTTTCCTGCTGCTGTTAGTCCTGTTGCCGCTTATTTATTTATGTTGGTTTTATGCCTGAGTTGGTTTCTGTGACTCCTCAGGTTCTGCTCTTGGAAACATGGAACAGTAGGTGTCAGCAGCACCCTGATGCTGCCTCCACACTGCAGAAATAAAATGAGAAGGAATGAAAGGAAACAGGTCCAAAACCATTTTGTTGTTAAAACAGTTTCCGTCACTTTTCATCAGCAGCAGCAGTAGAAATGTACAGATCACACAGCACTGTCACAGTGCTGGAGTTCTCCTTTACTTATAAAGGTTCTGCATTCAAACTTTTACTTTAAATTAGTTCTATCACCAACATCCACTAAAAGCTCAAGCAACAGTTATATACAGAGGTTGCTGACGTGAAACTATGGCAGCGCAAAGAAGTAAATTTATTATTATTTTAACACTACAAATAATAACAATAATAAGTTAATACATTAATGGGAAAACAAACCAAATATTGGCAAAGACATAAACTGATGATTGTCTATCACTGAGATTGTGGTCCATCAGCACAACCCTAAACCAAGATTTGTAATGAGGGGGACATTTTCAGAAGTTTTTGGCACTAAAGATCTTTAGCTTCTCTTCCATCACACAGTGCCATCGGTGAGGTGTCTGATCCCAAACCAAAGTCTTCTCCAGAATGTGCATTTTAATAACATAACAGACTACAGTCGACAAGACCTGACTATCCAAGGTGAATGACGGTTAAGCTGTGTGTGCATTTGCATGTTTAACAGTCAGAAATAATCAAACTTGTCTTCAGTAAAAGGTTAGCCTTAAACTTAGTTGGGCTACTGACGTTTCACTGCAGCAGTTTCCTGCTTTTGTCAGATGCTAATACATAACGTTACACCACTGCCTTTAGTATTTGACTTAATATGGCTTTAAAAGTAACATAACATTACTTAATATCTTCACATTAGATTACAAAGGATTCTGTGTGGTGTCTCCTGAGGTTTGTGGTTTTCTCTCTTGACAATACTACACACCTTTTTTCTCTCTGCAGCATTATATTTGAACATCATCTAATGATTGAAAAGTCGATGGAGGAGCATAAACAAAATCACCATAGTCCAGTACAGACAGGACAGCTGACTGTAAGAGAGAAACATGTTTTATGTCTGTACAGAAAGTTGAAATTCTGCTTAAGTTTTTTTGTGAGTCCTTCAACATACAATATAACCACAGTCCAAAGTGTTTGTAGAATGTAACTTCTTCAATTGCCATCCAAGTTGTAAAAGCTGCAACCGTCAGGAGCACACCTGCCCTTTGTGAAGACCAAGATTTTTTTTACATTCAATAACAATGTCACAAACACAGACACAGACACAGACACAGACACAGACACAGACACAGACACAGACACAGACACAGATGACTCTATTATCCATCTTCTCTTCTGACTCTGGGGAGAAGAGGAGGAAGAGGATTTCACTAAATGTTGGACTGTTCTTTTAAATGTGCAGACTGGTGTTTCTATCTGATCGAGACTAAAGATTCACACTGCTGACTGACAAAACACTGACCATGTGATATGAGTGTGTGTGCGTGCGTGCTTGCGTGCGTGTGTGTGTGTGTGTGTGAGAGAGATTATTAGCTGTGTATATTGTCATTTCCAGAGGAGCTGATTCAGACTCCTGCAGCATTTTTCAGCTGCTGGTAATTAGTGGATGTAGAGACACAGAGAATTATCTGCTTCAAACTCATTCACAAGGCTGATAACTGCTGTGTGTGTGTGTGTGTGTGTGTGTGTGTGTGTGTGTGTGTGTGTGCTGTCAGTCAGCTGAATTGCCTCGATTAAGCAGCAGATTATCAGGATTTTCTAATTATTAGAGAGGAATTAAGAGTGAGCCAATGATTATCAAATTGAAACATGAAAATTCTGAAACAGTGAAGAAGAAAACATTCAGATACAGACACATTAACACTGAGACAATAAAACAATGAAACACAAAAACAGTGTAAGTCCTTTTGGATTTAGCAGCACCTGCATTCTCCTAGTGCAAGACTGAGGGATTCACAATGGTACAAAGAGATGTTGAAAATGAAAGATTGGGTGGGCTCAGTTCAGATGGGAAGAAGGAGGTAAATGACACAATAAACTGCTTCAAAATGTAACTTGAAGGGTCTCAATAAATCATAATATATCATATTATATCATAATATAAATCATAATAAAGGGTTCAAAACTGAAACGAGATATTCAAAACAGTACAATGAAGAATTCAAAATGGTAACAAGTGGGAATTAAAATGGCATAACATTTGAGGGTGGAGGGAAGGCAATTTTATTTGTATAGCACAGTAGTATAGCACAATGAGGGATTCTAAATGGAAACAAGGGGGACTCGAAATTGCATAATAAGGATTTAAAATGGAAAAGTGGAGGAACAGGGCACAATTAAAGAGTAAAACTGAAAGAATCGTGGATTCAAATGGAACAATGAAATATTCAAAATAGAATAATTAAATAACCAAATGGAAACAAAGGACAATAAATGAAGGAGGGCGAGATAAATGAGGATTCAGAATGGAAAGAAGAAGGGATTCTAAATTGAACAAAGGGGACTTCAAAACTGAAAGAAGGGATTCTAAATGGAAAGAAGAGGACCTAAAATGGCACAATGAAGGAAATGCAACCTAGTGGGTAGGACTAAGGATGGAACTATGAAATATTCAGAATAAAATAGGGGAGGATTCAAAATGGAACAAAGAGTGGTTCAGTATTCAAATTACACTTGCGGCACAATGAAGGATTAAAATGGAAAGACAGGCTTATAACATCTTTACCAGCAGTCTGTTGATTGTGACGTTTTTCATCATAGTAGCGCTCCTGATCTCCTGCTGCGTGAATGCTTCACTCTGGTGTTTTATGTATAATTAAAATGTTTTCTGTGCAGGCAAAAGGCATCTGCAGACTAGTTATCCTAATTGTGGCCCTGCCCCGCTTGTTAATGCAGCAGGAGGGAGGAGGTTTAGAAGGGTTAATGGAGAAGATAATTATTAGCATGGAGGCTCTTCACATTAATTAGACATTTTGTGTCCAGAGACTGATGTTTATTGTTCTTCAGGAGGCGGAGGAAACAGCAGAGACACTGTGCTGTGGAGTATTTTTATTAAGTGGGTTTCATTATGACGAGTTTAACGAGTCCATTTGGGGTCAGCGGAGGTAGAAGGCAGAGTTCTCTTCAGAGGTGTCTGCAGGGAGCCTCACAATTATATTCACATTTTATTTCTTAGCAGAAGATGTCAGAGTAGACCTGAGTCATTATTAACACGCTTGCTGGTACTTCTATACTTGTGAGGGCTCCTGACATAATACATTCCTTCTGTCTAGCTGTTCTCTGATGTTGAATGACAGCTGGAGGATTTTCTTTGTGCCAGAATTGGTCCAGATGTGGATGTAGCATCTTACTATCATGCTGTGTATGGGCCAGATTCGGGCCATGGAACTGGGCCAGAAGACAACAAAGAAAATAAACAACAAAACTTAAGAGACAGGTTGACTGTCACATGTTTTAGGCTTTTACTTCCACCAGGTGAATTTGATTCTCCTGATGACCTGACTCCTCCCACTAAACTCCTGCAAGCAGAGATCAAAGAGTCCATGTCCAAAGAGGATGTCCTCAATTTAAAAAAAAGCAAGTCATCGCTGTTGTCACTGTATAATGTTGTCCTCACTCACTTTCCAAAAATGTCCCCACACTCAAACAATGTCCTCATTTTCCAAAATGTCCTCACTCTACAAAAATGTCTTTCAAACATTTCTTCTCCATCAAAAATGCCCCCTCCTTCCTGAAAATCGTCCTCACTCCCCAAAAATG